ATGACGCGTGTGGTGTGGTTGGCTAGACATGCCTACTAATTCGGTCCAAATTTTAATTAATTAATAAAAAATTAATTAGGCATCCAATTAAGTCAAATTTAGTTTCATATTGCATTGTCTTCATGTCTTGACCCACGTGCCAACTGTGAATCGTATCGGTCAAGTAGAACTGTCCGAATTTTCACTCCTGCGTTTCCATCTAGACTGACGACAGACAGATGAAGTGAGTTAAATAAAAGCTTGTAAAAAGTTAGAATAATCATAAAATAAGGTATAACCAGAGTCATATGATATAAACATATCTATTCTAAGTATAATTTTATATCAGCTGTTTTAAAGCTCAAATAAATGATGGTGTATGTACTTGGCAATATCTGATTTAACTAAAGCTGAGTAAATAAATATTTTAAAAATATAGGCTAGACAATTAGAAAACAAACATATGTTTTATACAATACCTACATTAATATTGTAATATTAATAGACTTATGTTTTATTTTATTTTTTATATTTTGTCCAGATAAACAGCCTTATCTCCCCTACCAGCTTTCATTTAAATACAAATTTTCATCACACATTTAAATAGATTTTTTTCTCCACTCTCGCATCACATAAAAATCTAGTTTTTCACAAATAATACAAATTGATCACATATCAATAACTTGGCAGTTACAAAGTTGAGAAGAAATTCTGTGAAATTACAAAAATATAACAAAATCTATCCTCTTTGTACGAGTTTGAAATAACAGTTTGAGCTCAAAAGGCATAAACACATGAACTGTTTAATTCCTTCATTCACCCAAGGAATGAAACAAAACATCGAGCTATACATTTCATAACACAGTTTGTAAAAAAAGTTAAAATAACTTAAAAAGATGGAAGAAATAAAATTTAAAAAACAACTTAAAACAACTATGCACAATAAAAAGAAATCAATAACTTTTGGAGGAATGTCTGACTAAAAGAATGTTGCAGGCTAAAGTTACATAAATTAGTACTTTTAAAAAAAAAATTATTTTTAGGCTATCTGTGAATGGCTCCATTTTTAAAATTCAATGTATTCTAAATAAAAAAAAAAAATATGCTGTAACATTTGCAAAAAATTTCTTTTTAGAGAAGATAAGATACAGTTTATAAAAAAAAAAAACCTTATAAATATTGTCAATAATACTTTTCTTAATGATATGTCTGAATCAACATGGCTAGTTGTGTACAGACCCAGTTTTAAATTCAATATATTAAAACTATTTATAACTTTTATAAGACAGTGTTTTGTAAAAAAAATTATATATTAGCCCTATTAATATTTTTGCTATGTTTGAATAAACAAAGACACAATTAATTAATTAAAATCTTACAAAGTTGCAGGAATCTTTTGACCTTGCTACATGTAAATTTTTATAAAATAACAACCCAAGGTTCACAACAAGGTACACAACCCTATGGTCAGTAGGTGACTGGGACATATTCACTATTGTAACCTGCAACAATATATCCACATTATGTTAACTAACATCTCCTACTGTGTTAACCTGTAGAAATGTGTAAAACCGCAACTCAAGGCACATATAAAAACTAACCCACGCACTGTTAAACAATGTCACATTTCTTCCACCGATTGCACTCTCTTGTTTTTAAAGTTCACATAAAACCCTAGTAGAAGAACCCGTACAAGAAAACAGACGACCCAACTAGCACTGTGGCCATAGCAGCTATAGCTACTCGCAGTCTGTAAGGTTCAGTGATGGATAACATATCCACAACATCCATCTGCTTGTGGGATAATTTGTTCCTGCTGGCTGCGTCAATGCCACATATCCAGTTCAAAACTCTGCAAGGGACGGCAGTTTTCTCTGGCGATTAGAAAGTTAAATTGGTGGTCATTAACATTTTAGTACCATTTTAGTTTCTCTACAGATTAAAAAGTTAGAATGAACCAGGATTAATCACCATTTACATGTGTAGGCAACTTCCATTTTTATATCTTTAATAAAAATTCACAATGTACCATTTTTAACACCGCTAATAACAAGTTCACAAAAATTACATTTCCATACTAATTAGTAAAACTTAAGCTGATTAAAAATTGCAAACAATTAATGTAGTTGTATTGTGAAGCAAATGTACTCTGGTTTTTAAACAATTTAGATTTCAGAATGTATCTTATATATTAGCTTATTTTAGGGAGTTAGAAAATCAGCAGATTAATGTTACAACAAATAATATTACGCATCTTATAAGTTCAATATAAACAAGAAATAACAAGAATAATAACAAAACAAATTTAGAAACGTATTCCCACCTTCACTCATGTTGTAAGTAACTTCTTCTTTAATTTCCATTTCAAATTTTCCATTTTCTTCTTTAACCTCAGTTTCTGATTTCCCATTTTCTTTATTCAGATCTAAATAAAAATGTGCATGTTGTCAAATATACATGAAGAAATAATTAAGTACCCTAAACAAAACAAAAAAAATCTGGGCTTATAAATTATAAAATCTTGCTTTTAAAATAATTATGATGTTTAATGAAAATTCTATTTGTACTTTATGGCAAGGCTATTAAAACTTTATGTTTTATGTATATAGAGTACATATGAACTACTATAAGTTGTTTTAAGTCTAAATTATGGAAGTTAAATTTCGTTAGGTCTGTATGTATCTGTAAAATTCCAATTAAATTATTTACATAAAAAAGAGCAATAGGTAACCAAATCTCCCTTGATTTAATTGCGTTAGTTGCGTACCATGATTTGTATCCTGGTTCACCTCAGCCTCAACCGTCTCCCTCAAACTCTCAGCCCTCCCTTCCTGCCAGTCTTTGATATCTAACCTTGCTTTTGTGCTGTGTCGGGTGCTCCAGGTTAAGCGTTGTATCTAGAGACAGTAGAACACATTTTTTGATTGGAGGTTAAATTCTTTCAATTTCAAAATAAATTTTCATCTTTTTGTTTGCTAAATTTTTAATTTATTATTAAAAGAGGTAGCATGGTTGGGCAGGAGAGCACATGATTGCTAACTCCAAAGTCCCAAGTTTGGAACCCCATAGAGAATGAAGCTTTTTAATTGGGGATAGCAACCTGTAACAACATGTATTCTTTGTTGTTGTGGGTTAGCTTTCATACAGGAACTCGAGCAACAGTAGCAACTTCAAATGACAACTTTATTTACACTATGTACAGATAAATCCGTGGTACATCCATATTTGAAGATCAACTGATATAGGTACAAATAATAATCACGACTCCAAGTCATGGAGACATCTTACATTCCCTGCCATCGTTCCAGTCCCAAGTCCTAGCACACAACACCCGTTCACCTTTCGCTCTCCCTTTTATTCACCACTTTCTCTCCCCTTACGTACATGAGCGATCTCACCCAAAAACATGGAAAAACACATGACGATCGCTCAGACAGTCCTTCCGCTAGCCAGGTACTCTTCATTCATGCAAAACACAATATAATAAAGATACATAATTATACAGTCTGTGACACGTCCCCCCTTCAAAAAAAAATTTTTGTGTAACAAAATTTATAAATACAATATTGGTAGGGCAGGATCATGTGCCAGACAACAAAATTTTTATACATCTCAAAAAAACATGGAAAAATACATTCTTTGTAGACTAATGCACAAGCATTATGTGTAATATATTCAAATATGAGAAAGAAAAACATTTCAATTACCCAGTAATTGTAGTATAAACAAGATCAATGAGTTTAGTAAATTACCAAACTATAATACATAGTTGAAATTATCAAAGACTTGATTCAACTCATAATTTAAATAACTATATCCTATGTGGTAAAAAAAACTTCCTTATCATCAAGGCATGTTATTACGACGCATGATTAATATACTTTGTTGTCTCCCCTAGTTGACCCATTTCAGACAAATCTAGGTCACAACACAATCACATTCTTGCCTTACACAGGTATTGACTAATACACAATACATCATTGAGACTTCCGTCTTATTGTTATGCGGAATAAATAGTCTCTAACTTTTATTTATTTACTTTATTCACTGTTAATTAATAGTATAGAATAGGTTTAACATAATACAGTTTACATTCTTTAGATATAGTACACAATTTATGTTTACTCAAACACATTATTTGATATTTATATATTACAGTTACAGACTGTATAATATTAATAAACTGTCAATTGATAATTTATCTTAGCATCCTCTATAGCATGAGTAATCGTTCTCGTGCAGTTGACGATGACCTGTATGCCATCTCTCCCTCAAATTGTATGTGTATCTTTTAGCTTTGTTACCATAATTATTTCCTAGAATTCGTGTAACTTGTGTTACTTCATTTGTTTTAATATTCTCCTCTGGTTTCTGAACAACGTCAGTAGTTATCTTGCTTTGTGTACGTTCGTTTGGTTCATCAATCAACTTAATATAAATATTATGGCATTGCTTTGGCCTCTCATAATATGTGTTGCGTCGGTAACTTCCATTAGTATACCTATTCACACTTTTGTTATTCTGATTTGAAGTTGATACATTATTTCTTAAATTACTGTATTTCTCACATGACTTTCTGTGTACATAATTGTTTCTTCTCTGATTTGCCAACCTATGCCAACATTGATTTTGGTAATGACCTGCTTTTCCGCAGTAAAAACATCTAGATTTTGGCTTCTTATAAACATGGTGACTGTATTCATAGTTTGCAAAATTTCTTTTTCTTTCATTCTGTGCATTAATGACATTAATGACATTCTTATTAACATGTTGACTGTATTCATAGTTTGCTACATTTCTTTTACTTTCATTCTGTGCATTTTTATTAACATTGTAATTTGTAGATATTGTTTCATCTTTCTTAACTTCCTTATGCTTCTTTATTGATTCTAATTCACACATAAATTTCTGGGTTAATTTCTCCATTTCTTTGTTAAATTTATCCTTGAGTTCTAGTATATCTTCTTTATAGTTTGACTCCAATTTTCGAAGTAAATCTTCAATAGGTACGTTCTCTTCATTGTGGCTTATTAAGTTCACTGATTCATTAATCATTTGTTTATCATGATTCCTGCCATTCTCCGATGGACTTATTAAATCATCACTGCCATTGACTGATGGGCTTATTAAATCATTTTGACTGCCATTCTCTGATGGACTTACGATACAGCTTTCACTAATATTCTCGTGTACCTGCGTATCATTCAATAAAGAGTCAATCTTAAGACATTCTAATGTATCTGTCACCTTTAAATCATTACTAAGTTCACCCTCTGTTTTATCCTTGGGTTTCAATTCTTCCTGGACTATGTTACTCTGTTCTTCATTCCAAAGGTTGCCAATATTTACTTCTTCAAGTTCTGCTTTAAATTCTGTCTGTTCACTTTCTAATTTTGGTTCATTTGTGTCTGTTATAGCTTTCATTTCTAATAGTTCTTGTTTATATGCTAGTTCATGTAGGCCAACTTGTTTTTCCAAAGTTTCAGCCCTTTTATCTGCTCTCTGTTTTCTGTTTCTTTTTTTCCGCTTTCCTTGTAGTTGTACAGTCTCTTCTGCTTTACCTACTTCTGAAATGTCTTCTTCTTTATGCATGTCTGTAATAGCTCTTGATCTATTACACACTATTTCTATCATATCATCTAGTTCTCTCAATACATTTCCATGAGCACGTCGGGGTTGTTCTGGTACTTCGTCCCATGCTTCTTTTGCTTCTTCTATGTCTTTTTCAAGTCGATTGGTTGCCCAGGCTATCTGCTTATTCATCTTCTTAATGCCTTGCGCCCTCGCTAGTGCTAGATATTCTTCAAAACATGACATTTTGATATATTTTCTATGACATAAAATATAAATTCATTAAATTCATTAGTTAACAATAGATAAATTTTAATTAATTTACAATACCCTTTCTTGTATTCTGGCTTTGTTTTAGTTGATTACAGACATCTGGTAGTCCAAGAAAAGTTCATAGTACATATATACGTCCAAAAATAGTTCACTTTGTTGATTCCAAAAAGTTGAAAAAATTCAAAATAGTTCTAGTAGCATGTTACAGAGTAGAAATTTGTCCAGTTTTAGATAAGACATCTTTAGGAACAGTTTAGAAACAGTTACAAAAATAAACTTGATCTGCTAAATCCAAACAGTAGAAAAACTTGAACAGCTAATCCATATAGAAAAAACTTGAACAGCTAAATCCAAACAGTAGAAAAGAAACACTAAGACTTGATCGGCTAAATCCAAACAGAAAAAACACACAGACGATATTTACTCGACATTGGTGAGACAATATCGAAATAAGGTGATAAAAATTATCACGTTGATGACTTGACTTGAACAAAACGTCTGACTTGACTACAGCAACCCTTCTGACTTGAGTGTAGATAGATGACTTTCAAGAACTTGACGTACTTGGTAAACAGTGGAAGACCACAGACTGTAATATCTCCATTTCTGACATATGTAGCAACAATTCTTCAACCACTTGTGACATCATAAGTAACAGTAATACAATGTAGCAACATCACTTTATTGCCTCCACTTCTGACACCATATGTAACAGTAGTAGTAGACGCTCACAATGTAGCAACTGTTGTTGCCCCCACTTCTGACACCATATGTAACAACATGTATTCTTTGTTGTTGTGGGTTAGCTTTCATACAGGAACTCGAGCAACAGTAGCAACTTCAAATGACAACTTTATTTACACTATGTACAGATAAATCCGTGGTACATCCATATTTGAAGATCAACTGATATAGGTACAAATAATAATCACGACTCCAAGTCATGGAGACATCTTACATTCCCTGCCATCGTTCCAGTCCCAAGTCCTAGCACACAACACCCGTTCACCTTTCGCTCTCCCTTTTATTCACCACTTTCTCTCCCCTTACGTACATGAGCGATCTCACCCAAAAACATGGAAAAACACATGACGATCGCTCAGACAGTCCTTCCGCTAGCCAGGTACTCTTCATTCATGCAAAACACAATATAATAAAGATACATAATTATACAGTCTGTGACACAACCCATCAAGGATATAAAGTTTAGATCATAAATAAAATTGCTTTATAGCTTCATATAATTTATTGGTGGAGCAAAATGTAATAGAGAACACAACAATCTAATGAACAATAATTGCTTTATAACTTCATATGATTCAGTTTTACTGGGAAAGTAAATATTGTATAAAGTAAAAAATAGGCCTAATCTATATTTAAAATTTGTTTATAGCTTCATACGATAAAATTTTACTGAGAAAGTAAAACATAGTATAAAATATAAAATAGGCTTAATCTATTTAAATTTGTTTATAACTTCATATGATTAAGTTTTACTGGGAAAGTAAAGTATTGTATAAAATATAAAATAGGCCTAATCTATTTAAAATGTATTTTTTTTTTATAACTTCATCAGATCTACTGATATTGGCTAATTAAGTGAAAAACAAATCAAGGGAAACAACTCACACATCTTTCATCAACAGGTTTTGTGCAGCAGCTGATGACCACAGCAGAGAGTGCCGTGAGGAAACACAGAAAAATGGAGAAGTACAGGTAGTGGAAGTTTTTCACCAACGCCGGGGTGGGGTCTGGCTCAGTGCTGCCACACTCTGGCGCCGTGTACGAATACTGGATGGCGAAACGTATAATCCCAGCAACAAAGCCAATCAGCAGCCCAAAGAATGCACCCTGAAAGCATAAAATTGTTAAAATATTATCTTTAGGCCTACAATTTTACAACCACATTTTTTTCAAAATAAAAACAGAGATGATAAAATAAAAAAATAAAAACCCAGAAAGAAATAGAAATAAATAACTCAACAATGCCTGAGCGACTGTAAACAAACAAACAAACAAACAAACAAACAAACAACAACCTACCTTTTCATTTAATCTTTCCCAAAATATACCCAGAACAAATATTGCACAGATAGGGGGCTGTAGAAAACTAGCCACTTCCTGTATGTAGACGTAGAGTTGAGTCCCTTGACTGGCCTTGATGACTGGGATCCAGATGATGCTCAGTGCCACAAGGATAATCACGAACACTCTGGGGGAACAGTGATCATGAGTTATTTCCCCTTCCTCGGTGATTATTTGTAAACATCTGAATTATCTGAACATTCACCCATTAATCTAAGCTTCCCAAATGTTTAAGTTTGAATCATATTGGTATGGTAGACGTAGGTGAAATGTCATGCGCCAGTTAAGACCCATGACAGACAAATGAAAGAAGCACACAGAATCAAGTTAAATACAAGCTTGTTCACATGTAAGCAAATAAATCCCTGGCCTGCCCACAACCTCAATAAACTGTCCCTCACCTGCTCACAACTACAATCCGTTGTCACTTACCTGCCCACAATCAGTTTTTGCTCACCTGCACACAATCACAATCAACTAGTGTAATATTCACATTCCCACAATCACAAAAAAACGAATACTCACCTGCCTACAACCACAAGCAACAAACACTCACATCCTTACAACTACAATAATCATCTGCCCACAATCACCTACCACTCACCTGCCCACAATCCACTCACCTGCCCACAATCCACTCACCTGCCCACAATCCACTCACCTGCCCACAATCACCTGTCCACAATCAACTCACCTGCCCACAATCCACTAACCTGCCCACAATCACCTGCCCACAATCCACTCACCTGCCCACAATCCACTCACCTGCCCACAATCCACTCACCTGCCCACAATCACCTGTCCACAATCAACTCACCTGCCCACAATCCACTCACCTGCCCACAATCACCTGCCCACAATCAACTCACCTGCCCACAATCCACTCACCTGCCCACAATCACCTGCCCACAATCAACTCACCTGCCCACAATCCACTCATCTGCCCACAATCACCTGCCCACAATCCACTCACCTGCCCACAATCACCTGCCCACAATCCACTAACCTGACCACAATCACCTACCACTCACCTGCCCACAATCACAATCAACTACCACTCACCTGCCCACAATTACAATCAACTAATACTCATCTGCCCACAATCACAATCACCTGCCACTCACCTGCCCACAATCAACTCACCTGCCCACAATCATTATCTCCAGCTCCGACGCCTTCCTCCTGATGTGAGTCCAGACGTCCATGGCGAAGATGGTGCTGCTGCTGTTGAAGATGGAGGTCAGCGAGGACATGAGGGCAGCGAGCATGACGGCCAGCATCATGCCCCGGGCACCAGCGGGCAGCAGGTTGATGACCAGCGTGGGGTAGGCGATGTTGGAACATCCGCTGGCGCTCCCGCAGAATTTGTAGCAGGTGTCTGGGTCAGCGCAACCCACGGTATCTGGAATTGGACAAAAAACGTTATGGACGACGTTTTGGTTGGGTAACTGGATGACAGTTATTAGCAAACAAACCCAACGTTTAACCAGTTTCTTCTGGAATAGGACACCGTTATGGTTGGGTAACTGGACAACTATTAACAAACAAACCCAACGTTTAACCAGTTTCTTCTGGAATAGGACACCGTTATGGTTTGGGTAACTGGACGACGTCTATTAGCAAACCCAACGTTTAATTAATTTTTTCTTCTTCGTTCTTAATTCTAGTATCGGAAAGGATTCCCTCCAACACAGTTAAGTATTAAGTGTCAACTTGTTATTTGCCATATAGGCCATTGACTCCGATTTCAGCTTGCTTTTTAAAAATTTACTTCCATTGCCCACTGTCCAACCAAGAACAAACTACAAGGCAGTAGATGTTTGATTGTAGAGTTGTCTCTCCTAGAAGAGTTGCTGTCCTCAGCTATCGAGCCTTATCTGCTCATCGAACTCGGGACTTTTCGGTTCAGCAACCATGAGCTTTACCGTCCCGACCACGCCGACCTCCAGAATACGTATCATATTTGTGAATATTTTAAAAATATAGTTTTCGGGTATTGATAAAAAAAAATCCAACCAATTCATTAGACAACCATGATTGAGTGAGGTACCTGGGTATAAAATTCTGGCAATCATTCCAGGGAAGACAAGTAAAAACAGGGGGAGAATTTTGAGATAACCACAGAGTAACGTCCCTGCTTTAGCGTGGGTGAAGGACTTGGCGGCCAGAGCTCTCTGAACAATCACCTGGGGACAGGAAGTGGTAATTAGACAAGAGGAAGTGGTAATTAGATAACAGGAAGTGGTAATTACAGAACAGTGGTAATTTCACAACATGAGGTGGTAATTAGATACAGGAAGTGGTAATTAGACTATTGGAGGTGGTATTAGACAAAAGGAAGTGGTAATTAGACAAAAGGAAGTGGTAATTAGACAACAGGTAGTGGTAATTAATTACCAACATGATGTATGTAGACAACATGGTTTAGTAAGCAGGCAGTTTTATAATACATGATTTTTCTCCCTTTAATTGGTATAATTTGTGTATGATACAAATAGCAAGTTTTAAAATAAATGTATTCTGAGGACAGAGCATTTATAAGCAAGGGAGGCAGCAAAAGTATACCACATTTGCATATGTTATTGAAGGTCAGATTGGAAATTATGCTGAATAGTATGATTTTACAGACATATAGACAGTATTATAACCTCACGTTTTAAGGATAGCAAAGGCATATCAATAAGGGGGTCATCCATAAATGACGTTAGGCTCTTTTGGACGATTTTTAACTCCCCCTCCCCTCCGTCACAAAAAGCCACCCATCCTAAAATGATGTTACACCTCAGCCTACAACCCCCCCCCCCCTCCTCAAAATCGCTGTTGAATTTGTCTTAAAACATCGATATTTTTCCAAAATTTTGTCTGAACTATCAACATAGAGTATTTTAATCAATTCCTATTACAGTGTATTAAAACCGTTTTCTAAAATGTGAAATAAAGGCTAAAACGTTTTCTAACATTGCTTTTTTATAACGAAAAAAAGTGACGTCACACCATGTGAATATCCCCCCTTTCCCCTCATCACACACCATCACAAAATTACGCCCCCCCCCCCCTTACGAGTGTGACGTCATTTATGGACGACCCCTAAAACAAAGCGAAACCTACCTGATCGGAGCACCAGTACCATATCGAGTTGATGGTCAACCCCAGGATCCCCGGCCAGGGGAGGTCACTGGACACCGGGTCCCTAAACAGGTGCATGTAGTCTTCTCTCGGGAAGCCGCAGGTGTTGTTGCTCATCAAGGCACTCTCTGCCACAGCCGAGGGGTATTTCTCCACCATGGCGTTGAACCCACCCACCTCATAGAATGCTGGCCATGATAAAAATAGTTCTAGTTAAATCATAGGTTTTTGTCCTATATTATAGAACTTCATAGAACGCGAGCAATGTTGAAAATCACAAACGTTATAGAACGCGGTTCATGTTAAAAAATATTTTTAGCAGTGTTTCTTCTAGACTTTTACTCGGGGGGGGGGGGAGGAGGACAACAATTTTCGGGGGGACGAACATTGTAACTATGTTTTCTATACAAATTCCATTTCGTCCGGGGCGGTAGACTTTCTTCGAGGGTTTCTTCGAGGGTTTCTTCGAGGGGGAGAGGGGGGGGGGGGTGCATGGATGCCTGGAAGAAACACTGTTTTATAGTCACATCGTAGGGGTATTTCTGTATTATAGAGATAAAATCAACGACTTCCTAGATCGATGGTCATGTTAAAAAAATATTGTGGTTAAATCATAGTGGTATTTCTTTAATAGAAGGATAAAGCCACCAGAATCATAGAATGATGTTATGTTACAGTTTACAGTTTTAAAAGAGAGTATGATTTTAGCATACCACGTACACAATCATATCCAATTCATTGGATGCCCTACACATTCATACCACCAGTCTCTTGACTACACAATCAAACACCGACAACTACGATCTACAATCACACCTCTATTATTATGACCAATACCAAAAAATACCACAACAGCTTAGCTGATCGCCTTAAGTCAGTCCCCATGATCTCAAAATTAGGCTTTGAAGAAAAATTATGTATAGCCGAAATAATACCGTACAAATTGCTAACCATTCTCTATTGGCACTAAAGACAACACAATTTAGATCTAGGTATATTAAGATGCGTTTAAAACAAGTTAAGTATCCTAAACTTATGGTCAACGAGGAAGGTGACGTAGAGTTGACCTGTTTCAGTGACCTCGACATATGTAAGGACAGTGTGGTCAGCACTATGCCAAGCCACCTTTACTTTCACTAAAATGAGTCAGGTATTCATCAAGAACATCCCATGGACTCTAGCCCGGGATCCGAACTTGAGACTTTCGGGTTAGCAGTCGAACGCTCTACCATTCGACGTCATCTGACCCAAGGGTCGGGTCATAAGATACTGAGGCACTCCATCCGCTTTAAGCCTAATTTTGGTAGAAAAGGGATGGTGGGAGTAAGAACAAAAATCAAGTAATGACCACAAAAGAGGAAGCACCAATTTTCCAGTTACAGCAGGTTAGCCTTTGGACGCATGAACAAGTAGATGCCGCCAGCAATTTGATACAAACTGGCTAAGACACATAACAAAACAGCCAATAGAAATATTTCTAATTCGTCAAAAAAAGGGCCACAACACACAACAAATCAGCCTGTACAACACGTCAAAAACTGGGCCACAACACATCAGCTTGTACAACACGTCAAAAACTAGGCCACAACACACAACACATCAGCTTGTACAACACGTCAAAAACTGGGCCACAACACACAACACATCAGCCTGTACAACACGTCAAAAACTGGGCCACAACACATCAGCTTGTACAACACGTCAAAAATTGGGCCACAACACACAACAACAAAGTTGTTGACTCCATTTCTTGCAGTATTTTTCACCTGATAAATTTTTGATAAGATTCGGATGAACGACCTCGTGGAAAAAAATTCAAACACCTTATATGTTTTATATAGACAGACAGTAGTTCAAGGAATAAAACAAAACACGTAAACTACAGCACCTACATATCGGTCAGTTGTCTAGTAGACAGTAATGGTCGACACCCGGGCGCCGACCCTAGGGGTGCCTAAATAAGCTTAATTAGCTGCTATTTTGAATTTTTGAATTATAAATATAAAGAATATATGGAAGGGGGGGGGGGGGGGCGCCAAATTGAAATTTTGTATCGGGCGCCGGGAGTGGTCGCTATGCTTTTGGTCGACACGTCCTCAATCAGCAGTATCAAAAACCTAACTCTTAACTACCCTAAACAAAACCTAACCCTAAACCTAACAACAAACCCTAACCCTAAACCTAACAACAAAACCCTAACCCTAACAACAAAACCCTAACCCAAACATAACAGAACACACAAACCACAGGCCTGACAATACACAATGACAGGGATGTATGGCGACTGGTACCTTCTAACGGAACAGTTCCTTACCTCTGATCATGAGAACGAAGGCACCGACCAGCATGATGATGGTCTGGATGAAATCTGTCCAGATGACCGCTGTAAGGCCACCTGAGGGGACACAAGGGCTGGTTCAAGTTTTGGTCAGTGGGGGAGCAGGATATTACCCCCCCCCCCCCCTTTTTCTCCCCTTACTTATAATAATCATACCTCTGTACATTATTCCCCACCCCTCTTGCTGACAAACAGCAGTAAACCCATACCCCCAGTCAGTACCCCCTCCACCAGATATAGATAGAAATAGGTTAAGTATAAGTTAGGATTAAAGATAGGTTTAAAGATGGTAAAGATTCCTCTCTAAACTTAGCGATCCATTGAGTAGATGAAGTAGAGTTCATGTTTCTTGACCTCGACATATGAAGGTGTTATCAGCACTTTGCCCAGCCGCCTTTACTTTCCCTAACATGAGTTAGATACCCATCAGAGTTGGGTGGACTCAGAGACGGTCTACTGACTTGAACCCGAATTCAAACTCGAGACTTTCGGGTTAGCAGTCTAGCGCTCTACCGCTTAGATCACGCAGTCCCAAGATAGGGATTATGTAGTAGAGAGGTTATACTGTAGTAAAAATAAAAATCTCTAATTTGACAATTTTAGTCGAGTCAGGTACCCCTCAGTTCTGGGAGGTAGGATGGGGGTGTTTGTATGTCAGGTACCCTTCAGTGCTCAGATGTGGGGGGTGTCTGTATAAGTCAGGTACCCCTCAGTGCTGAGAGGGGGTGGTGGGGGTGTCTGTATGTCAGGTATCCCTCAGTTCTGAGAGGAGGGCTGGTGGTGTCTGTTAAAACGGACCAATGTCGAGTTACCTGTTATAGTAAAAATGGCCGCGATACCCAGCAGAAGGGAGACAGCTCCGTACATGTTCCAGTTCAACGCTTGCTCGATGAATATAGAACCAGAGTACAGGTCTGCCTGTGGGTTGGATAGAAGATGTGTCTTTGTGGATTAGAGAACAGAAATCTATCCATGGATTAGAGAGTAGAAAGCTGCCCATGGATTAGAGAGCAGAAATCTATCCATGGATTAGAGGAACAAATCTATCCATGGATTAGAGAACAAATCTATCCATAGATTAGAGAACAAATCTATCCATGGATTAGAGAACAAATCTATCCATGGATTAGAGGAACAAATCTATCCATGGATTAGAAAACAAATCTATCCATGGATTAGAGAACAAATCTATCTATGGATTAGAGAGTAGAAATATTCGTGGATTAGAGAACAGATAATTAGAGAGCAGAAATAATTTTCATGGATTTTAGAGTAGAAATGTATACATTAATAAGAAAACATATTTATCCAAGAACATAAATATATCTATGATTTGGAGAATAGAAATATATAATTGAATTATAGAACAGAAATCTATCCAATAATTAGAGTGCACCGGACTTCATAAGACCAACGCTACGTACGAAAGAAGATGTACACAAGTAGATATAAAACAAACAACTCACGGAGATCTTGGTGAAGATGTACATGGTGTGGTTGATAGAAAAACAACAACAACACACAAAAAACAACAACAAAGAACTCGCGGAGATCTTGATGAAGATGTTCATGGTGAGTTTGACATAACCCCCCCCCCCCCAAAAAAAAAAAAAAAACACAGAAAAAAAAACTCACGGAGATCTTGGTGAAGATGTACATGATGAGGGTGACACAAACAACAACAACAACACACAAAAAACAACAACATTAAACTCACGGAGATCTTGGTGAAGATGTACATGATGAGGTTGACAGAAAAAACAACTCACGGAGATCTTGGTGAAGATGTACATGATGAGGGTGATAGAAAAAACAACTCACGGAGATCTTGGTGAAGATGTACATGATGAGGGTGACAGAAAAAACAACTCACGGAGATCTTGGTGAAGATGTACATGATGAGGGTGATAGAAAAAACAACTCACGGAGATCTTGGTGAAGATGTACATGATGAGGGTGATAGAAAAAACAAACAACTCACGGAGATCTTGGTGAAGATGTACATGATGAGGGTGACACAAACAACAACAACACACAAAAAAACAACAACACAAAAAACAACAACATTAAACTCACGGAGATCTTGGTGAAGATGTACATGATGAGGGTGAGTACTGAGAGGAAGATTTGTATCCTGACACCGCCAAACCGCCGCTGTAGGTACTGTGGCATGGTGTAGATCTGTGGCAGAGGGAAAATATTGTATGACAATCTTCAGTTAGCTGTACATAACCTCAGGGGTTAGTTAAGTAAGGGTTAGGTTTCGTTTTAGGTTTAATACGCTGTTGTATTGGTCATTCAAATAATACGATGTTGTGTTGGTGATGTGCTATAACTCAAAAAACACCCACGTGATGTGCGTTAACTCAACAAACACCCACGTGATGTGCGTTAACTCAACAAACACTCACGCGATGTGCGTTAACTCAACAAACACACAAGTGATGTGCTATAACTCAACAAACACCCACGTGATGTGTTTTAACTATAAAAAAACACGTGATGTGCTTGAACTCAAACTTCAATGACTTATATTTGACTGTAAAAATGAAAAACACCAATCTAACACAGAGACATGGTTAGAGCGTTACTTATCAGAGTGTTTCAATATAGAAGATTGGCAGCATCGAATCGATCAAGGCTATTGACGACATACAGTTGTAGAAACTAACCTGTTCTATTCCTGGGAGTTAGTAGATTTTGAAAAATCGATGTAGTCATAAGTTTTTTATTTATGGTATCAAACTTTCTGTTCGTTCACTTGTATTTCTGTGTTGTCTGTTCTCTGAGATTTTGTATGCAGTGTACTCTGAACGTAATGTTTTCTGTTGTTTTCTCTGTTGTATGTCTTGTATTTTATGGCGTGTCTTTATCTGTATTTTGAATGTTGTTTTTTGTCTGTTGTAAAATCTGCCGTGCTTAATGTCGGAGTGATGAGGATACTTTACTATAGTTACTTTAACTTCTGAACTATTTCCTCACCACACAGTTAAACCTCACCAGTTAAACATCACCAGTTAACCCTCACCTCACAGTTAACCCTCACCTCACAGTTAACCCTCACCTCACAGTTAACCCTCACCTCACAGTTAACCCTCACCTCACAGTTAACCCTCACCACACAGTTAACCCTCACCACACAGTAAAACCTCACCACACAGTTAACCCTCACCACACAGTTAACCCTCACCTCACAGTTAAACCTCACCACACAGTTAACCCTCACCACACAGTTAACCCTCACCACACAGTTAACCCTCACCACACAGTTAACCCTCACCTCACAGTTAACCCTCACCTCACAGTTAACCCTCACCACACAGTTAACCCTCACCTCACAGTTAACCCTCACCACACAGTTAACCCTCACCACACAGTTAACCCTCACCACACAGTTAACCCTCACCACACAGTTAACCCTCACCACACAGTTAACCCTCACCACACAGTTAACCCTCACCACACAGTTAAACCTCACCACACAGTTAAACCTCACAGTTAAACCTCACACAGTTAAACCTCACCACAGTTAAACCTCACCACAGTTAAACCTTACCACAGTTAGACCTCACACAGTCAACCCTCACCACAGTTAACCTCACCACACAGTTAAACCTCACCACACAGTTAAACCTCACAGTTAAACCTCACACAGTTAAACCTCACCACAGTTAAACCTTACCACAGTTAAACCTCACACAGTCAACCCTCACCACAGTTAAACCTCACCACACAGTTAAACCTCACCACAGTTAAACCTCACCACAGTTAAACCCTACCACAGTTAAACCTCACACAGTTAACCCTCACCACACAGTTAAACCTCACCACACAGTTAAACCTCACAGTTAAACCTCACACAGTTAAACCTCACCACACAGTCAAACCTCACCAACCACATCGACCTACATCAACCTGATGATAACATTTCTTCTAGTTATCTTTAGTAAACAAACTTACGATACCTTCAGGTAAACAAACGAGTGTGACGATCTATTTCACACACTCAACTAATACCAGTGGTGTTACCGGGATTCGGTCATTTGTTCAAAATGGTTTTATATATTTAAAGTATGTATATATATATATATATATATATATATATATATATATATATATATATATATATATATATATATATATATATATATATACATACATATATATATATATATACATACATATATATATATATATATATATATATATATATATATATATATATAGGGATGGATAGACAGACAGACAGACAGACAGACAGACAGACAGACAGACAGACAGACAGACAGACAGACAGACAGACAGACAGACAGACAGATAGATAGATAGATAGATAGATAGATAGATAGATAGATAGATAGATAGATAGATAGATAGATAGATAGATAGATAGATAGATAGATAGATAGATAGATAGATAGATAGATAGATAGATAGATAGATAGATAGATAGATAGATAGATAGATAGATAGATAGATAGATAGATAGATAGATAGATAGATAGATAGATAGATAGATAGATAGATAGATAGATAGATAGATAGATAGATAGATAGATAGATAGATAGATAGATAGATAGATAGATAGACAGATAGATAGATATTGGGGGCAAGGTAACATTAGTAAAAGAAAGAAAACTTTAGCCGAAATAATATTAGACAACTTACGAATTTAAAAAATAGTGTGGGTATTTAAATATGTAAATAATTAGGATAAGTAATACTTACACCCGATGCTATATATACAGGAAGAAAAATATATCCAAGTAGAACCAGAACAAGCATGGCCTGTGAAGACGGAAACAATTTTTTGGGTAACTACACATTATATAGATATATCCATACATACATTACATACAAAGGCCTACAGACAACATATAGGCCAATACATAATATATGTACACACGCAAAAGTCTGTGTATATAAGTACACATACACATACTTACATGCAAGCTACATACATACAACATAGGCATACATAAATAATAAATACAACTTAGCACAAAAGCGGACACACGTCTTGAACATTATCTGTCATTATTATTCCTACACCTATCCCTATCCATCTTTACATCCAGCCTTTTACTGACCCTATCAATATCCTTAAACCCACTCATAACCCTATCCGCAAAACTCTCCCTAACCCAAATACTACACCAATCCCTCTCCATCTCGCTATGGCAATGGCCCTATCCCTAATCCTAAACAAATTCCTATATCTATCCTCATCCATCTCCAATTTAGATATTAGGTCAATTAGTAATCGACATGGGGGTAATGCTCTACTATAGGTTTTCTGGGAGGGGGTGGGGGTAATGTACTCATGAAATCTAACTTAACACTACGATCCACACCACAACTTTCAGGAATTTCTCGGGGGGGGGGGGGGGGGGGTCGGGACTCACCACCTCTTTCGGCACGAATAAAAAAATGTAATTGAAGTAGAAAATATACAATTTAATTTTTTTTATAAACGGCCCCCTCCCTTCTACCCGAAGCAAAAAGTCTGAAAGAAACTCTGTACTCAACTAAATTAACCTATATAATATGCAGATATTTATTTTTTCTTAACGGATATTTACAAACAGTACAAAACAGGCACCCAACATCAAAGTAGTGATTGATCTATGGAAGACCGTGAGGCAATGATAGAGATCTATGTAAAGCCTTGAGCCCATGTTTGTGATAAATGTTATTTATCTATGGAAGACCGCGAGGCAAGACTAGAGATCTATGGAAAGCCTTGAGTCCAAGTTTGTGATAAATGTTATTTATCTATGTAAGACCGTCAGGTAATGCTAGAGATCTACGGAAGGTCGTAAGCCAATTTATTAATCTATGGAAGACCGTGTGCCCATCTTACATTAAGTTCATAGTTGGCCACTGAGATCCCAGCCGCCGCACCAGATCCCGCCAGCCCCACAAAATGTAAACTTCCGATGTTGCTGGCAAACAGGGAGGCGCCCACCTGAAATAACAAAATGTTAAGTTAAGTTAAACAACACAATGTTGACTGGGGGTAAACAATGTTAAATTATGGCAAATAACAAAATGTTAACTTTGTCAAACAACACAATGTTGACTGGGGGTAATGTTAAATTATGGCAAACAACAAAATGTTAACTTAAGTTAAACAACACAATGTTGACTGGGGATAAACAATGTTAAATTATGGCAAACAACAACATGTTAACTTAAGTTAAACAACACAATGTTGACTGGGGATAAACAATGTTAAATTATGGCAAACAACAAAATGTTAACTTATGGTAAAGCAAAAGGTTAAATTATGGTGAAAAACACAATTTTAAATATTAACGTAGAGCAAACAACAAAAGGTTAACTTTTTGTAAATAACAAAACTTTTTGTAAACAACAAAAGGTTAACTTTTTGTAAACAACAAAAGGTTAACTTTTTGTAAACAACAAAAGGTTAACTTATACTTTAATGTAATTTGATCTGCGTGGTCGGGGGGTAGTGAGCTCGACTGTTAGCCTGAACGTCCCTTATTCGAATGCGTAGGATGTTGTTAAGACCTCCAAATTGATGGGTTCTAGACTTCTGACCACAGGTGCTGTTAAACATGTGCTTTGGCCATTGATGGTTTGACCACCGTATAATTATAGCGGCTTTGTCCATGGGTGGTTTGTATATAATGACATGTGCCAGGCCTACTTAATTTATTATTAATCAAACAATCAACACAAAATACAACGTCATGCAAATGTCATGCAAATGTTATATCTGAAGGAATAAAAGTTTGATGATTAAACAAATGACAAATGTGCAATAGCCCGCAGTCTGTAGTGCATCTTTCTGTCCATAGGTCTGACCAGCACGTTGTAAATGTTTCATGTAGGATCCTATACTACTTCACAGCTTTGTTTTCTGTCTTCTGCTGGGTGAGTTTCTTTCAGGCATCTCTTCTGTGGCCACCGCCCACACGCCCCGAACAAAACCAACCAGTGTCCAGCCCCTGGAAATTTAAATTCGCCCCCCCCCCTCAGTAGCGTAGCGAGGGGGGGAGGGGGGGGGGCGGGGGGGACATATGTCCCCGGGCGCCGACCTTAGGGGGGGCGTCAAAATGGGTTGGAAAAACAAATTGAAAGGTTGAGGGGGTTCAAATCGAAATCTCGAGAGGGGGTGGAAATCGAAAGTTTGAGGGGGGGGGGTGCAAATCGAAATCTCGAGGGGGGGGATGCAAATCGAAAAGTTTGTCCCCGGGCGCCGGAAAGGGTCGCTACGTCTCTGCCCCCCCCCCCTCCCCACTTCGAAAGCTGCAAGTGCCCCCCCTCCCCAACCGGAGAAAAATGTCTGAAAGAAACGCTTGGACTGGTGCATGAGACAAGACAAGGAGTAGCCATGGGGTTAACATTGGTAGTTTTACATTCCAGTTTCAGTACAATTGAATATAACTTTTGCAATATTCCTTGGGCACGATAACAGTAGCAGACTGCAGTACTAGCATCGGGAATTGTTTATTTAAGGACTCCAATCGCTGCCGTTTCAAAATATGTGAGAATAATTCGATAGACAAAGCACCTGTCATTAAACCGCGTGTTGACAAAGCACCTGCGATCAAGGAACTGCCTTTGAGATTTATCACAATCAAGCTAACGTTGGTCCAAACCTCAACGATAACTCAGGTGTGACAATAGTGACATTGATTAGGGTAAATCAATCAACACTATTGACTCGTCTTTAACTTCTCTTACACAAACCCAATAGTTGGCCCTTTTAAAAATATAATGTAACACGAATCTGCTTTTTTTGTTTAAAAAAGGATATTTAAATGTATTTTATAAACATCTCGCATACTTTGTTTTTGTATAAGGCATAAATATGTCTAGACTTCAAAATAAATAGTAAAACCTGAAATTATATTTTTTTTTATTGCGCATCAAGTTAACTGCCTTAAGTCAAATTCTCAAGTCAACTGTCAAAGTCAATAGTGTGAAGTCAACTGTCTACGGTCAACTGCCCAAGTCAAATAACTCAAGTTAACTGTCTCAATTCAGATGTCACAAGTTAACTGTCTCAATTTAGATGTCTCAAGTTAACTGTCTCAATTCAGATGTCTCAAGTTAACTGTCTCAATTCAGATGTCTCAAGTTAATTGTCTCAATTCAGATGTCTCAAGTTAACTGTCTCAATGCAGATGTCTCAAGTTAACTGTCTCAATGCAGATGTCTCAAGTTAACTGTCTCAATTCAGATGTCTCAAGTTAACTGTCTCAATTCAGATGTCTCAAGTTAACTGTCTGAATTCAGATGTCTCAAGTTAACTGTCTCAATTCAGATGTCTCAAGTTAACTGCCTGAAGTCAAGTGTCTGAAGTCAAATGTCTTCAGAAAAAAGTTCGATGTAAAAGAAGGTGACATGACTTACAGGGATCCAGTGCATGTTGCGGCCAGCCAGGAAGTAGCCACCTGCACTGCCTCGGTTCTGTCTGGAGGTCTGGTGATACAGAGAACATACAGGGTGATACAGGACATACAGGGTGATACAGGACATACAGGGTGAGACAGAGAACATACAGGGTGATACAGAACATACAGGGTGAGACAGAGAACATACAGGGTGAGACAGAACATACAGGGTGATACAGAACATACAGGGTGAGACAGAGAACATACAGGGTGAGACAGAGAACATACAGGGTGATACAGAACATACAGGGTGATACAGAACATACAGGGTGATACAGAACATACAGGGTGATACAGAACATACAGGGTGAGACAGAACATAGAGGGTGATACAGAACATAGAGGGTGATACAGAACATACAGGGTGATACAGAGAACATACAGGGTGATACAGAGAACATACAGGGTGAGACAGAGAACATACAGGGTGAGACAGAACATACAGGGTTAGACAGAGAACATACAGGGTGAGACACAGAACATACAGGGTGATACAGAACATACAGGGTGAGACAGAGAACACGCAGGGTGAGACAGAGAACATAGAGGGTAGACAGAGAACATACAGGGTGAGACAGAATATAAAGGGTGAGACAGAGAACATAGAGGGTGATACAGAACATACAGGGTGAGACAGAGAAAATACAGGGTGATACAGAACATACAGGGTGAGACAAAACATACAGGGTGATACAGAACATACAGGGTGATACAGAACATACAGGGTGATACAGAACATACAGGGTAAGACAGAGAACATACAGGGTGATACAGAGAATATACCGGGTGAGACACAGAACATACAGGGTGAGACACAAAACACACAGGGTGATACATACAGGGTGATACAGAGAACATACAGGGTGAGACACAGAACATACAGGGTGAGACACAGAACACACAGGGTGATACATACAGTGTGATACAGAGAACATACAGTGTGATACAGATAACATACAGGGTGATACAGAACATACAGGGTGAGACAGAGAACATACAGGGTGATACAGAGAACATACAGTGTGATACAGAACATACAGGGTGAGACAGAGAACATACAGGGTGATACAGAGAACATACAGTGTGATACAGATAACATACAGGGTGATACAGAGAACATACATGGTGATACAGAGAACATACAGGGTGAGATAGAGAACATACAGGGTTAGACAGAGAACATACAGGGTGAGATAGAGAACATACAGGGTTAGACAGAGAACATACAGGATGATACGGAGAACATACAGAGTGATACGGAGAACATACAGAGTGATACAGAGAACTTACAGAGTGATACGGAGAACATACAGAGTGATACAGAGAACTTACTTATATGATATAGAGAGAATACAGGGTGATACAAATAGTAAGTATGTGTGTTGGTTGTGTTACTCTGGTACTGTGTTACATAATTCAGTGTCTTACGTAGGTTATTGTGTTACTTTCACAAAATAACACAAACTACCAGTAGAGCATGTTTACAAAACAGGCCGACATTTAGCGTGACAAACGTGTTTGTTTACACAACCACAGCCGGGCATAGAGATACATGGCAGCTAGATAAAGAAGAATTTACATGTGAAAGAAGACAAATAGTCAGGGCGATTCAATGCCCAGCTTACACAAACAAGTGACACAAGTTTGTTTCATGAAAATTGTTTTCAAAGAAACAACGCTACCAGAAACTTACCCCAAACTGCATTAACAATAAAGACACTTTACGGTAAATCAATAAAAAAAAATACACCCAAACACAAATGAATTTACCAACAACTCCCTCTAAACATACACTCAAAAACAAACGAATTTACCAACACCTTCCATACATACACCCAAAAACAAACGAATTTACCAACACCCTCCAAACATACACCCAAAAACAAACGAATTTACCACCACTTCCCCCCCCCCCACCCACCCAAGCATACACCCTATAAATACATCTCTACCAGCAACACCCCCCTCTCCCCCAGGGTATACAACAACTTACCCATAAGCCCACAAAGAGAACAAAGGCGAAATAGCCGGCGATGACCAGGATGTCGCCTAGATGAAGGTTCGTTCCAGCAAAAGCCTCCACCATTGTCAAGCCGTGTCCTCTCTCAGCCGCTCAACACCAGCTGAAACGTCACACGACAGCTACAGAACAAACAATAATAAACTCCTTGAAATAATTTAAATCATCGTTATAAAAACATTTTTAAAATGTAATATCGCTTACGGGGCAATTTTATAACTAACTGGGCTGTCAAATTTCATGCTAAAATCTTATCTAAGAAATCCCCGCCGCCCAAGTCCTATATTTGCACTGTCTAAGCCCCCCCCCCCTCGCTACACTATTCTAACAACAATCAAGTCTCAACTATCTAGTACAGATTTCATCATTACAGGGATTCTCAACGCGTTGAAGTTAGTGTGGACTGGCAGTGGCGTAGCGAGGTCGGGTGTCACCCGGTGCGGCACTTAATGGTGTCACCCCCCAGAGGCGCAACGACCCTTCACGGGGACAAACTTTCAATTTTCGATTTACACCCCCCCCCCCTCAAACTTTCGATTTGCACCCCCCCCCCCTCAAACCTTCGATTTACCCCCCCCCCTTCAAACTTTCGATTTCACCCCCCCCCCCCTCAAACCTTCGATTTGCACCCCCCACCTCTTAAAAGGCTATTTAACACTCTAATTAATCACTCTATTAAGTGGAATTATCATTTTTCTCTATATATTTTGCTATTTTTTGCCTTGGTGTCACCCCCCTAAATGGTGTCACCCGGTGCGGTCCGCACCCCCCCCCCCCCCCCTCGCTACGCCCCTGTGGACTGGGTCTTGTTGACTAGAAGATATGGCTCAAGAACACATCTAGTCAACGACCATCGGACCTATTGACCAATGATTTATAAACCAGTCGTTTCCAAACTTAGAGCCACGGGCAAGTGTGAAATGGTGGGGTGGTGGTGGTGGGGGCAGAGGAACGCGAAAAGTTCAACAGTAAAATTAAAATATAGATAACCTTTCATATCGTAACATCAAAATTTTTACACAAAAAAAACATACTTTAACCAGTGTCCGCCTTCCGGAAATTTTAAGTGCATCCCCCCTCCCCTCGGAGAAAAATATCTGAAAGAAACCCTGTCCGTTAGTTACAGCCAGTGTTTCTTCCAGACTTTTGTCTCCAGGGTGGGGGGGGGGAGGACTTTAAATTTTCGGGGGGAGGGGGGGTGGCGGTGGCGGACACTGTTAAAAGTATATATTTTCTATACAAATTCTATTTCGTTCTTGGGGGAGGTGGGGGGGGGGGGGGCGGTAGATGCCTGGAAGAAACACTGGTTACAGCCTACTTTAAAGGGTAACCTAAATAACCAAGTGACAAAAGATTAAATACGTTTTTTTCCAAGCCAACAATCACATTCACTGCTTGAAAACGTTTTAAAGTATATAATTATCTAAGCCTACATATATCTTTTTTACGAATTATATACTTTTATTACGAAATAAACAATGCAGTAATTATTAAACCATTTGTTTCCGTACATTTAGACAAAGTACAATTTAAAAAGTAATTGTTAAATATTACTTTGTGTTAGTTACTTCCCATCCACAATGTTTATTTTGACAAGGGAGACAACATATAACTGTTATGCACACGTGATACAATAATAGACACGTTTAACAATGTAAACATAATAATTATTAATAGTATCTTAAAATTTTAATATTTAAAACAGCGTATTACTGCTGTCAAGCTTTAGTATTTTTAATGACTTGGGAATTTATCGTTTTAAACTCGTTAAATTTTTAGAAAACCATGTGCAGTTTTACATTTTTAATTTATAATTACTGAAGGCGGTGCAAAATTAGGTATTAATTAACTAGTTGAACACTTCCTTTAGTGAATTTTAGTTTTGAAATTTTTGTTTACTTAAATAAAAATAAACCGGGAGTGATCTCCCCTAAACTTTCTCGAATATTCTTTTATAAAACAACAGAGGATGGGAACTCCATTTTAAATACTTAAAGTTTTTAAAATAGAATAAAATCTCGTAGAAAAAAGAACTGCACACCAAGTGAACGCCAAATGAAATGTGCATAATAGTGCGCAATATTATTAGTACTTTATAAATTTACATGCGTTTTTTTTGAGAAATCGGAAGTAGCGTAAATTAGTACTTCCGGTCAACGGAAATTACTAAAAATTTGAAAGAAGGTAGAGAATTAGATCTTTTACTTACATGTGAAATTTCATTTATCTATCTGAAATAGTACTCAAGTTATAGGCTTTTGAAAAATTCAAAATAGAAAAAGTACCACTTCCGGTTATCGGAAATCGCTCAAAAGTTGATACGGATCTACGATTTTGATAAAATACTTTTATGTGAAATTTCTTCAACCTAGCTGTAACGGTACTCAAGTTATCTTGTTTACACACACACAGACACACACACACACACACACACACACACACACACACACACAGACACAGACATACGGACAAGATTGCAAAATTATGTTTTTCTGTATCAGTGAGGTGTAAAACGTCGAGATTTGCACGATTACAAGACTTTCTCTATACTTCGTATATACGAGAAAGTAAAAAGATGCCTAAAGGGGTTTTAGAGCACAATCGTGAAAGAGAATGAGATTCAATTATTACAACGTTCAACTTAGTTTTGTAACGTTGTGTCTCGTAAACATTATAACTTAAATATCGTTTCCATATGGAAACGTCAACATTTTGTGCTTTTTAAGGGCGGCGCCGTGTGAATAATAAACCGGGAGTGATCTCCCCTAAACTTTCTCGAATATTCTTATATAAAATAACAGGGGATGGGAACTCGGGCTATAGACATGATTTTTAATCCATTTTAAATACTTAAAGTTTTAAAAATAGAATAAAATCTCGTAGACAAATTAATTGCACACCAAGTGAACGCCAAATAAAAAAGCGCATAATGGTGCGCAATATTATTATTACTTTTAAAATTTACATTAGTTTTTTGAGAAATCGGAATTAGCGTAAAGTACTACTTCCAGTCAACGGAAATGGCTCAAAATTTAATAGAAGGTAGAGAATTAGATCTTTTACTTACATATGAAATTTCATTTATCTATCTGAAATAGTACTCAAGTTATAGGCTTTTGAAAAATTCAAAGTAGGAAAAGTACCACTTCCGGTTATTGGAAATCGCTCAAAAGTTGATACGGATCTACGATTTTGATTAAATACTTATATATGAAATTTCATCAACCTAGCTGTAACGGTACTCAAGTTATCGTGTTTACACACGGACAGACAGACACACAGACACACAGACAGACACACAGACATACGGACAAGATTGCAAAATTATGTTTTTCCGTATCAGTGAGGTGTGAAACGTCGAGATTTGTAAAAATCTCGATTTTTTTTTTTTTGCACGATTACAAGACTTTCTCTATACTTCGTATATACGAGAAAGTAAAAATGATAACCGCTGGCAAAAACAGGACATCAAAGACTGAACATGCTCACGAGGGGTTTATTATAGGGCTGGTAAGTAGGTCATTAAACAGTTATATGGCTCATGCAGGTTTTATTGAGCCGTATAACTGGTTGGTGACCTACTTACCAGCCCTATTGTGAAGGACATCATGTCATCAACTTGTCGTGCAATAAGTACACAGACAGGCATTGCCGTCTTTACAAGTTTTTAGAGCCACTTAACGTCGATAAATCATTATATATACCTTCATATCTTGTAAGGGTGTGTAATTATTACAACAGACACAATTAACACATGTAAGTGATGTTTTTAATTGGTTCATTATCGAAAACGTTAACAGTCGTTTATCTATTGCAATGGTATGTAAAGCGTTAACATTTCAGCTAGCTTGTAATGTTTCGTACTCCAAATAGGTCTGATAGGACACATGGTACCATAGACACGACCCAACGCCTCATAGACACGACCCATTCTGTCAGGCAGTGAATCGTGTCTATGAGGCAGTTGGTCATGTCTATGAGGCAGTGAATCGTGTCTATGAGGCAGTTGGTCGTGTCTATGAGGCAGTGAATCGTGTCTATGAGGCAGTTGGTCGTGTCTATGAGGCAGTTGGTCGTGTCTATGAGGCAGTGAATCGTGTCTATGAGGCAGTTGGTCGTGTCTATGAGGCAGTTGGTCGTGTCTATGAGGCAGTTGGTCGTGTCTATGAGGCAGTAAGTCGTGTCTATGAGGCAGTTGGTCGTGTCTATGAGGCAGTGGGTCGTGTCTATGAGGCAGTTGGTCGTGTCTATGAGGCAGTTGGTCGTGTCTATGAGGCAGTTGATCGTGTCTATGAAACAGTTGGTCGTGTCTATGAGGCAGTGGGTCGTGTCTATGAGGCAGTTGGTCGTGTCTATGAGGCAGTTGGTCGTGTCTATGAGGCAGTTGATCGTGTCTATGAGGCAGTGGGTCGTGTCTATGAGGCAGTTGGTCGTGTCTATGAGGCAGTGGGTCGTGTCTATGAGGCAGTTGGTCGTGTCTATGAGGCAGTTGATCGTGTCTATGAGACAGTGGGTCGTGCCTATGAGGCAGTTGGTCGTGTCTATGAGGCAGTTGGTCGTGTCTATGAGGCAGTGAGTCGTGTCTATGAGGCAGTTGATCGTGTCTATGAAACAGTTGGTCGTGTCTATGAGGCAGTTGATCGTGTCTATGAGGCAGTAAGTCGTGTCTATGAGGCAGTTGATCGTGTCTATGAGACAGTGGGTCGTGCCTATGAGGCAGTTGGTCGTGTCTATGAGGCAGTTGATCGTGTCTATGAGGCAGTTGGTCGTGTCTATGAGACACTACCCATGACATCATAGGGTAGCCCCACTGACCCATCAAAATTATATTTGGTCAAATATTTACTGTGTTTCTTGAAGATGTGTTGAAACTGCTAAAAGTACCCTAATGCAATTTAAAGGCTCAAATGAGGAAAGCTAGTTAATTTGTTTTGTGAGCGGGGTTTATACCGAACCAATCCGTCATTATTATAACGTTAGTTGCCAATTTATATAACTCAGTTACTGTCTATCTCTACCGTGACGTAACGATTTCAGTCAATGATTGCACATATCACTGCAAAATATTAAACATAAATTTTGTTTATAACTTAAGTCCGGTACCCATCTAAGCTGAGTAGACAGACTCATGGATGCCTCGGGATTATGTTTTAACATAAATTCCTTCTTCACTTTTATTGAAGAACTCTTGACCTTGCTATCCACCCGATACCCACCTCCCCTTTTTAGCTAAAATAGTTGATAATGTTTTAACCTTTACCTTTTGAGACCGAATGTCTATTAATTTCATTAACGATAATTACCTTTATTCTAACCGTTTGGAGAACAAAATTAATGTAGATATAATTTCTACATGATAAGTAAACAATTTTTGTTGGTAGTAAGTACCCCATAAATGGGTAGGGGGGGGGGTCAAATGGTGTACCTATTGATTAATTTTTAATACACTGGAAAAAAGTCAATTGATACAATGTAAAATAGCTGTTACAAATCGGTTTTAAAAAATACTTGTAAAATACATGCATGTCGTGTCACATTTCCTTAACGCTCGAATCACTGGCGTAGCTAGGATTTTTGGGCCCTATGCGTAGCGACCCTTCCCGGCGACCGGGGACAAACTTTCGATTTGCACCCCCCCCCCTCAAACTTTCGAAAAAGGGCCCCTATTTGCCTTGGGCCCCTTTTTGACTTGCTTACGTTATTTTTACGGTAGCTACGCCACTGGCTCGAATCCATCGAGACAAAACATCAGACAAAAGACACCCCCTCCCTCCCACCTTCCCCCCCCCCCCCCCCCCCGCCCCACACTAAAGTGACGTCTTATCTAATACCGGTGATATTACCAATTTGGTAAGGGTCAAGGTGTCGTAGATCGATCATTGGGAGCTAAAGTTGTAGGAATCATATTCGTACGTAAATGAACATTACAACATATTTGTGTGCGTCATTATACTATTGGGCATGTAGATCTATGTCGTAATCGCGTCATTCGATCAACAAAACACAACAATCATAGCAACAAATATATTTATAGACATAGAGGTATTCTATATTATTACTAGCGGAGGGGTTATGCGTCATTACACCCCATGCGGATCATCTCAACGACAGAATCGTTGAGCCTCTCTCCGACTGTGTCGCTGAGAATAAAACCCTTTGGTGGTTTCTCAGTCAACACTGTCGTTGAAAATAAAACAATAATTAAACATGCTCTCCACAATTAGGAAAGCATAAACTGTAGGTGTTTTGAAGCTAATATTCCAGCCATTTTGTTTTGACGAGAGCTAGTCCAGATCTAGACTAGAATCTAGATCTACTTGATCAACGATTTACACTGATGTAAAACCTACGTAAATCAAATCTACAAGATCAGGATTTACATTTAGATCTAGAAATCTACATTATTGACTAGAGAGAAAAAGTTAAAAGTATGCCTAGTGCGTCGAAAGTAAATGATAGAATCTAGATCAAAATCTAGTAATTTTTCAGTAGCACTAGATCTAGATCTAGTCTAGATTGACTAGATAGAAAGATAATTATTTCTGTGGCATAGCTGTCCTTTAGCATTTAGGATCTAGATCTACTCAATTTTAAATCTCTTCTATTTCAAGTTGTTTGTAGATCTATATCTACAAGATTAGGCTTAGGTCTAAAAATATACTAAAGTTATAACTACACAAGTTCAAGTACACATCATTCCTAAACTTAATCTAATGCCATTAATGGCTAAAATTCACTGAGCATTGTTGCACTTAAGACTTAAACGTAAGGCCTAAATACTAAATAAAATTATTACGTTAGCTTAATTTTCGTGACAGCTTTTCTCTTCTTTTTTGCCATGCTTAATTTAAGTCACTTTCATGTGCTGGTAGCTTAAAATAAAACTTGTTTAGGAAGTTTATTTCTTTCTCCCTTTCATAATGCTGCAAATATGAGTAAGACGCTTATTATTATAATTAAATAGCTGCGATAAATAATCATTTGCATCTTTTTGGGGTATTTCTTTTACATGAACTGTGAAATACGGTATCTCAAATTTTGCGCGTAACTCAAAGCGAAATATTACTCGCTCAACTGCTCGTATTTAAAAAATCTGGTATGTCTAGGCACTAGAATGTTGAGGTACCACAGGATCTACTAGATCTATGTATTGAAAGAAAACATAAATTAATTATAGAATAATAGGCAAATATAGTAATAAAGTAGGCCTTATAGCTTTAGATTTTATTCAGCCTACTAATAAATAATTAAATAGGCCTAAAGTAGTACTAGATATTAGTTAAATCACTAGTATTGTGTAGGGTTATTTTTATTAAAAAAACAGATCACATCTTATACATTAAGGCGGGCTCAATAAAATAAAAATAATTTATTTAGGACCTAGGCCTATCTTTTGGAGATCTAAAATTCTAAATGAAAAATAAATTATTAATTAGACCAACAATAGGCATAGTATGCTAAATCTATTTTAGTATTTAAATTTAAGGCTCGGCCATCTACTAAAAATTTTATAAATGTCATAAAATGGCCTACTTAATTATAATTACTAATTACTATTAGGCCTAAGTTTAAACTAGAGATAGCCTATTTTATTAGTAGAAAAAGTATTAGTCATAGTTAAGATGGTATAGCCTTATGTAAATTAATGTAATCAGTGTTAGATATTATGATATCGATCAAGCAATTATTATATAATATCGGAAAGGGGCCTAGCACTCTCTTAGTCATTAGTCTATTAGGTCTTACAAGTAGTTTAGCCTAATTATATATTATAGGGCCTATAGGCTGTTATTTAAATTAGGCCAAAGGCTTATTAGGAAAAGGCTTAATAGGCTTTAGTTTTTAATTAGGCAACAAGGCAGAGGCTTAAGTTTGCTTATAGATTTAATTTGAAATTATTATGATATACGCTACTCTGCGACTATCACTATAGACTGCTATAGAGTATATTATAGCCTAGGCCTATCTAAATAAAATAATTCAACTCACTTAGCTTACTATAATTTTTAAAAATGTTTAGTTAAGTATTCAGCTCTCTATGTCAGCTAAGGCCCATAATTGTAATTGTCCTACTGTTAGATCTATTAATTATTTAATAATTAGTAGGCCTAATTATAGGAATTGGGTCTGATACATTAAGTCCTATACATTGGTCGTAGAGTAATACTATTGGGCTAGTAATTATATACAATATCTATACAAGCCTACTTATCGTTAATTTGGAAGTCTTTGCATTGACCTTAGTTTTCAGATGTAGCAGCCTAATTTTTATCAGATTATACCATAAAATCAAAAGTAGACTTGTAGATCTTTTTAAAACAAGGCATGAAATATTAATTTAAATAATATAAATTAAACAAACAGCCTAAATAACAACTACACAAAGTTAAAGTCATAATAACTTTTTATAAAGGTATCTTGAATTTCAACTGGAGGTAGTTTTGATAAATATTAGTATTCTGAACATTAAAATAGGTAGACTTAACATACATTTGTTCTGAAAACATATTTAGAAATTGGTTTTAAAAAATGAGGTTAGGATGGGGGTGATAACTAGTTGAGGATTAGATATGATATTCATTGTGTTTATCCATGTTGTAATTTCTCTTTTACAGGTTCATCCAAAAAAAAGGGAAGATCTGATTTTTACCAGTAATAAGACTACAGCATACTAAATGACACAAGATGTTCTTTCTCTATTACCTCTTACATTTGACATAAAAGTAGGAAAAGGTATGACAATTATTAATAAGCTGCTTTAAATTTCATAATTTGTTTTTTTATAACTTAATTGTACCATTTTTATTTCCAATAATGATAAATATAATTTAGTGTTATTTATATTTTAAAATATTTATATTATACTAGATATAATTTACTTGTATAATATTACTATCCAGGTTTAACAGTCTATGCCTACAACATAGATCTCCAGGACTAAAAGTACACAAAATGGCAATCAGTATATCACAAGTGTAATAACACATGCATCTAATCTGCTTCAGTGGCGAGAACTGGGTGAATCCTCTCAAACATTAATCAGGTAAGTTATCACAAGTTTGCTTTGGTTTATTTTGAACATGTTGATTGAGATAGATTTTTATTTGTATAAATATTGTATTTAAAAAAATATTTTACCTAGTAAAACCAAGTCAGTGGTGATGATTGATACAATATCATTATGTATTTTTTTAAATATTTGTTTTGCAAAATATGCTGATTTGCAGGAAGGATATATATATATATATATATATATATATATATATATATATATATATATATATATATATATATATATATATATATATATATATATAGATATATATAGATATATATAGATATATATATATATATATATATATATAAAACAGTATCATTTAGTGGTTTGTCTTACAAATTTGAATTATTTACTTAATCTGTCTTAACTGCTCAACAGGAACTAGGCATACCTAATGAGCGTCAAGCTGATACAGTAGATGTACAGAAGAGTTTATACGCAAGGTAAATATTGATAAATTTTAAGTTTTCTTTTTTTAAGGATACATGTAGTGTTTTGGGAGAAAGGAATTAAATTATTTAAATTAGGCCTAATAGTTTATTTCTCTAGCTTATGTTTCACTTAAAATAACTTAAATTTTTCCCCCTTTATCACTAAAGCAAAATTTTATAGATATCTATGCCATGATTCATCTCATTCAATCACTTTTTTCTTGTTTTGTTTTGATGTATTAAACTAATTTAAACTAAAGATTTTTTTTTTTTTGCTAATTTTATTATTTCAGATGGATGATTAAGAAAATCATTTTGTTTTGTTTCAGGAAGTGAAAAGTGATGTAAAAGGCAACTAATACTTCCATCTACCATAGTTAAACAAGAATCTGCAAATGGTGATAATTGCAATAATCTTGATATATTAATGTTTGGCTTTATAATTATATGCAATTGTTTCATAAATAAATTATTTCTCAAAATTTGATGTATTTGGTTTTCTTACTTTGTACATAAGATGCAAGTGATTGAAAGCTGAAAAGGGTTGTATGTAGTTATAGTATTCCCAGCACAAGTTGACATTAAAACAGCTGAAGCCCTTTAAAAAAAAAACAAAAAAAAAATAAAATAATCTAGAAATGCTGTTTCTATTAGCTGAGCATATATTTGGAAAAGAACTTAATTGTTTACCAGAGAATACTGTGACCCAGTTTGTACTCCAGGCAAAAAGTGTCTATGGTTAATATTATTAAGTTAAAGAAAAGTATCAAACAAACAGGATAATATTAATAAGCAAGACCTCCACACTAGAGAAGTATGGAATGAGTGTTGCATGGAATTCAAATCAACTTTGATGTTGCTAATTGCTACACTGGCTATAATTGGCCTACATTGATTTTTGCTGAGGTAGGCAACTGTTTTTGTTTAACTTTAGATGTCGACTAAATAAAGAAGAAAACTGACACGCCAATACCAAAATCAAGAACTTGTAAAGTTCGTGGTTGCTAAACCGAGAAGTCCTGAGTTCAATCTCCCGTGTAGATGAGGCTCTATAGTTGGGGATAGCAACCTATCTTGGGGATACAACACTTGTTCTTGGATTGACAAAAGATAAGAAAAGAAATCCAGAAAGAAAAGCAGCTGAACGAAGAAGAAAAAGGCTGGATATATTCGGTATCAACTGTACAATTTTAACAGACACACATTTCAAACTACACATGCATTTCAATGACAAAGTTCAGTGAAGCCATAATGTTGAGTTTGACTGAATGAAGAACGATATTGTTATTTCAAGCAAAGTTAAGGTTTATTGTCTTAAAGACATTGTCGTGGATTGATTTAGACTAAGACTTCCCTGTTAAATAAGCCGACAACGATGGCTCTTTTTATTTCTCGTCTTTGATGTTGCTTTCAAGAACTTGTATGAGATTAGATTACCTACATACATAAGGCTACACAGTTTGGAATCTTGGCTTTCTAATAGTGGACCTGGCTACATGGCATTACCCCCACCCCGTCAATTACCCCCCCCCCCCCCGGAGGAGACCCCCCCCCTCCCGTATTTACCCCCCGGGGCAATTACCCCTTGTCAATAACCCCCCTGGAGAATCCCCCCCTCCCCCCCGGCCTCAAGTTATGATCCTAACTCAAACTCTATACCTATGTATTTCCTTAATCCTAATCGATAAAAAAATGACCAAACCCTAAGCATTCACCTCAGCCTAAAACTTAACACATAACCAAAACCAACTCTAGACTTAGGTTTCAGCCTAACCTTGACCATAACACTAACCCTAATCCTAGCCTTAATCCTAACCCTGACCATAACACTAACTCTAATTCTGAATCTAACCCTAGCCCTAACCTTAGCCCTAACGCTAACCCTAACCTTAGCCCGAACGCTAACCCTAACTCTAGCCCTAACTCTAACCCTAGCCCTAACGCTAACCCTAATCCTAACCCTAGCCGTAACCCTAACCATAATCTTAACCTTAGCCAGAACGCTAACCCTAACTCTAACCCTAGCCCTAACGCTAACCCAAACCCTAACCCTAGCCGTAACCCTAACCATAACCCTAACCCCAGCTGTACCTTAAGAGGTGTGTGCGTGGGGGGGGGGGAGATGTCCTCCTTGGCGGGGGGTAAATGACAGGGGGTAATTGCTTCAGGGGGGGGGGGAGAGAACTAATAATCTGTAAGTCCTACTATTCAATACATTTGGTTAACACAATGTCGTCACACATGTAAAACAAAAAAAGCAGTGTTTTTATTATTTGTATCCTTAAAAAATGCAAAATAAATGCTACGCCATTAACTCAACCCTCTTTTTTCTCGTTACATATCGTCACATAAAGCCACCGCCCAAAATGATGGTGACGTCAATATACAATCATAAAGTGGTCACCCATTAACCACGACTCACTCTTCAGACGATTTTGCACCAAACCCCCCTTCTCTAATTGTAACAAATTTTCACAAAAAGCCAGATCTTCGCTTCCCCCCACCTCCCCCCACCACTCTCTTTAAAAACACTACACCTCAACACATAACCCCCTCCGCCGTTCCCCTGAAACTGCATTTTTACTTTCTCGTATATACGAAGTATAGAGAAAGTCTTGTAATTGTGCAAAAAAATCTCGACGTTTTACACCTCACTGATAAGAAAAACATAATTTTGCAATCTTGTCCGTATGTCTGTGTCTGTGTGTGTCTGTGTGTAAACACGTTTACTTGAGTACCGTTACAGCTAGGTTGATGAAATTTCATATATAAGTATTTTATCAAAATCATAGATCCGTATAAACTTTTGAGTGATTTCCGATAACCGAAAGTGGTACTTTTTCTACTTTGAATTTTTCAAAAGCCTATAACTTGAGTACTATTGCAGATAGATAAATGAAATTTCACATGTAAGTGAAAGATCTAATTCTCTACCTTCTTTCAAATTTTGAGTAATTTCCGTTGACAGGAAGTACTAATTTACGCTATTTCCGATTTCTCAAAAAACGCACGTAAATTTATAAAGTACTAATAATGTTGCGCACTATTATGCACATCTTTATTTGACGTTCACTTGGTGTGCAATTCTTTTTTCTACGAGGTTTTATTCTATTTTAAAAAGTTTAAGTATTTAAAATGGATTAAAAATCATGTCTATATCCCGAGTTGCCATTCCCCGTAGTGTTATATTAGAATATTCGAGAAAGTTTAGGGGAGATCACTCCCGGTTTATTATAATATGTACTGACCTCAATAAACATTGAGTTAATAAATGAATTAATACCAAAAGCAATCTTTTAAAGCCCGAAATAACGGATGAAAGCAAAAATGTGTCGTCACACTTTCCGATCATCCCTTCCCATAAATGAAAAAAAAGCCTCAACATACTAAAGGAGAGTATGGATGTTGATGGAGGATCCCAACGTTAAAAATTAAAGCAGCGCAAAATTTCAGGAATCCATGTTACATATTATTATTTTCCGTAGGTATAACAAAGGTATTTACATTGTGTTTTATATTTTACGAGCCGCTATCATACGCCGCTATTTAGTTGTTTCATTTTCTACTTTTCAGTAATTCATAATTTGTGAATTTGACAGTAACAATGCTGCCACTGAAAATATTTGCTTTAAAACACTATCAGTAGCTCGTTAAGGACGATACCCCCCCTCCCCACCCTACTTTCCCAAAAATCCTACCCCCCCTCCTCGTGAAAGCAGCCCCCTCTGAGTTACCTCCACTAAGTTTCGAACTAAATTATCTGCCCCTAATAGCTGTCACTAAACCCGGCTCTACGATTGTAAACCTTTAGCTTGAACCACAGCTCACCAGACCATGTAGGGATGGGGGTGGTAGGGATAGAGAGAAAGAGAGGGGGCTGCTAGGGGCGCTTACAGCTTGGTGTTTTCTATGGTATCCATGAAGAGAATTATTTATATAGAAGAAATATATATTAAACCAGCGTACCCGTCCCGCGCGTTGCCGCGGTCTCAGAAGACAGACTGACGCAATATTTTAAGAGGATTCCATAATTACATTAGCAATCACGTATTTTTTTACGCTGGACATTGATTTCTAAATCTAAACATTTTAAATGTAATCAAAGCCGGTGTTATATTGCTTTCATCATAGTTGTTGAGGCGCAAATTCTACAGCACACAGTAGCCCATTGTATCCATAATGTATCGCACTCTTTAAAACGAACGTAGGCGCAATAGTGTTTATGAGGGGCCCACACAGGGGCGCTAGACCACACGCCAGTGGTGCAGTAGACAAAAAATTTCCCTACTGTAGGGCGCTCTTTTAAAAGTCATAGTGTTCCTCCCGAAGCCAGTGGCGCATCGGGTCAAACGAATTGTCATCGAATGTCGTGTGCCACAGGGTCAATATTGTAGAGTGCTCTTTAACACAACCTTAGGATATCTCAGGGCGCCAAATCGCTTCCTGCCGGGGCGCCGGCAGACGCGCCTGATTCCATATAGTCAAAAATTATTGTTGCCCATCGTGTCTTTAGTGTATAAATTAAAAAAAAAAAACGAACGTAGGCGTCATAGTGTTCACATGGTAGCACGGGGCGCTTCGGGTTACGTAATATCCGGGGCGCCGGCGGCTGCGCCTGTTGTTGCTTTTTTACCTTAGCCCCCATGCAGTTTTAATATCGCCGCCCTGGATTTTCAGGCGCCAAGCCGTTTATTAACAAAAATCGCACCCTCCAGGGAAACGCCCATAATAAATTTTAATTTTTGTTTTCACAGAAACCTTCTCGTGAGTGTTTTCATTAACCCTCGAAAGTTTAACGGCACTCAGATAAACGATGTCAAACAGCATCCATTTTGTTTTTTACAAACTGTGTAGAGAAAAATTGCACCCTCCAGAAGCGCCGCCCTGTTAAAATAAAAAAAAAATAACCTCCCCTGAAGTTTTATGGCGAGCGGATGAACGGGATTAAACCGCAATCTACTTTTACGTATATATACCCTATATAGGGATCTATATATAGAATCGATTCGCGCCCTGCTGGGGCACCGTGCTTGTGAAATATATCCAGTGGTATTCTTAACTTAAGTTGCATGGCCATAGGATGAAAGGTGTAGTGCTGCATAGAGGACATAAACAAACCCACAAACAAACAAGCAAAACTTCATTATATATATACATAGAGAGAAATATAAATAATTCTACATATGCATATATATATATATATATATATATATATATATATATATATATATATATATATATATATATATATATATATATATATAGCTACATTTGGTGCATATATATATATATATATATATATATATATATATATATATATATATATATATATATATATATATATATATATATATATATATATATATATATATATATATATAGCAACATTTGGTGACTTCCCATTTTCCCCAATGGCGTCAAATTTTGCACATAGTCCACCTATTAATTCATGTGAAAAAAAAGCATCGTTTTCATCGTAAATTATTAGATTTTGGTATCAGCCTCTCTCCGGTCGTCGCTTAGCAAATCTGTTATCCAAAAATTCAACAAGCATGTATTCACCTGTACATTTTGCAGTTTGTGTCATCTCCCCTCACCCCCCCCCCCCCCTGAATGATAGTTTTTAAACGTGCACAGTTAATTGTATATTTTTTTATCTGCAGTAAGTTATTAGTACAGTTAATTCTCATTAGTCATTTATTGAACTGGCAAAATGCTTACTTCTTCTATATATTTTGCTATTTTTCGCCATGGTGTCACCCCCGAAATTTTGCCACCTTGCGCAGTCCTCAGCCCCGCCCCCCCCCCCCCAACCTTGTGACGCCTCTGGTTAGGGGTACTACTTCAGTACAGTAAATATGTATATATATATATATATATATATATATATATATATATATATATATATATATATATATATATATATATATATATATATATATATATATATATATATATATATCGGGGGGGGTATAGTCCCTTGGCACACCTTGTACCTACGCCACTACATAATCATGTTCTTAAGATTATATAGCACATTCTATGTATAAATTCGATAAAAATAGCTATTACGTATTCTGCAATTTTATATTTGTAATAACATATTGTAAACGAAATGAGTCTTAAATTCGATTAAAAAATGGGCCTTTATATTATGTATTTTTTCTATTTTGCAATCATATCATGTATTACTTGTTGTATAGCCTAGATTCTATAATAATATACTAATGTATTCTATATTACATAATCCTATATTATATCGTTTAGTAATCTCTACCCTAATGTTTTCTATACCGAATAATCAATATTCTGTAATTCTAAATTGTGTATAAATTAATCATACAATCTCTAAAATTAATCATAACTATGATCACAATTAAATTCAGCAATCCACTGTATTCATTTATATTGCTAAAAATAATTTAATTTTCAATTTTAAAGACAGAAGATACATTTTTTATAATATTAATTATTATTAGCTCTGTAAAATGAATGGTTGTTTAATTTTTCTTATATTAAATATTTTAAGCGATTAATTAATCGAAATGGTTTTATTCCGTTAGCTAGTTTTTACAGTTTATAACTATAATTAGAGTCTCAACGACAGAATCAAATGAGAAAAAATCTATAGCGTTATTATATACCGACACTGTTGATAAGCCACTCAACGACAGTGTCGTTGAGAATAGTGTAGGATCGGCTGGAATCAAATGAGAAAAAATCTATAGCGTTATTATATACCGACACTGTTGATAAGCCACTCAACGACAGTGTCGTTGAGAATAGTGTAGGATCGGCTGGTCATTACTGTAAGAGGACTAGAATAGAGATTGGAGTTTGTAGTGGGTGGGGTTAAAAGTAAACATATGACGTCATATTTATAAATCTAATAATAGACATGCCCTAACCTTTGAACCTGCTGTTTGCCAGATTAAATATGTGCGTTTGTGTTAGATTTAGTCTTCGATTTAGGCTTTAAGAATTGGGGAAATGGGGGTGGGGTCTATTGGATCACGATATTATTGTTAGTTGTAAAGTTGCAACATTAAATTAATAATCAGAGAGTTACACGGCCGTCTTAAACATAGTTACACTGGTGGCGTAGGTTCTCGTAAGTCATAGGCCTACTCATCAAATTTTATTTAGTGTGCTACTAATTCTAAGCCAAACATTATTAAATGCAGCATATTACTGCTAATGCTAAACAAATACCGCTTTGATGTACGAGGTCTACTAAACTATAGTTATCAATAATTAAAATTAGTCTCCTGCAGATTACACACTACAAGCATTTAACAATGAACACTTTTTTACAAAATTTTAAAGGGTTAAGTAAGGGGCTCAACAATCAACAATGAATAGGCCTATTATATATATATATATATATATATATATATATATATATATATATATATATATATATATAGGCCTATATATATATATATATATATATATATATATATATATATATATATATATATATATATATATATATATATACATATATATAGGCCTATATATATATATATATATATATATATATATATATATATATATATATATATATAGGCCCTATATATAACTATTATTATTATACGTTCAAAGTAGCCACATCTATTATAAATTGTAATCAACGCCTTCTTTATTTAGGCCTAAATATCTTTTAAAAAAAATTACGTAGAAGGAATCTAGATTCTATAGTTTTTAGATTCTAGCTCTAGATCTAGATAAAGCTACGTTTCCTTAAGAAGAGTATTTTAAGACGACTATTCATAACATCATAACAACAAAGTTAGAAGTAGGTCAACCAAATGTTTCTAAAAATTCTGGTTTTAAATTAGGGCATTAACGTTTAATAAAAACTCAGTCGTATTTTTCTGTTTTTAAACCAATTTATGTCGTTTATTTTAGTAAATACTTTTAAAAATACTAAGCGTGTCAGCAGACTTGACAACTGTTAGGCCTAGCGACGATCTAAACAGACGGGGAAACACGTGTGTTACGTTAGGCAACACGCCGGTACAGCGTTCACACACACATTCAAGCGGCGGTCACTTACCACTGGGGAAATAAATAGTAACGGTGACGATGAAGAAATGAGCCCAACACAAACATGATTGTTGACGGTACTCCTCTGCTAATCCACCATTTCGGCTAGTAGATCTAGATCTACATACGGCGAAGAGATAAACCAGAAATTGTCAGAACGCCACATCCACGACAATGTGTTGAGATTCTACGTGCGCAGGCGTGTTGATATCTCACCGATCCGCGTTAGCACGCCAGTTTATTTTTATCACGGCGATCCTCGTAGGGTTAAAATTAGGTCACGATCTGACCTATTTAAAAATTTAATGTGAACTAAATCTATTTTAGCCTTAGTAAATTTTAAAACTGGAGAATGTATAAATTGAACTAGAGAGGGAAGAAATATTTAGTGAGGGAAAACTAGTGGACCATCTAATGTGTACCACTTAGTGAATAGTAGACTTAATAGGCATAACTTCATATAGGCCTACTTTGGTTTTTTGTATGAAGACACCTATGGTTGTATTGATTAGGGGTCGTCCATAAATGACGTCACACTCGTAGGGGTGTCCGTAATTTTGTGACGGTGTGTGATGAGAGGGGGGGGGGGGGGTCAGATGGTGCGACGTAACACTTAAGCATTATTTATTTTAAAAAAGGCAATGTTAACATAATTTTTGTCGTTATTTCGCGTTTTAGAAAACTGTTTAAATAAATTACAATAGGAATTGATTAAAATACTCTATTTCGACTGAGTTCAGACAAGATTTTGGAAAAATATCGATATTTTAAGAAAAATTCAATTACAATTGTGAGGGGGGGGGGGGGTTGTAGGCTGAGGTGTGAAGTCATTTTAGTTGGGGGGGGGTGGATTTTTGTGACGATGTGTGACGGAGGGAAAGGGGGGGGGGTTAAAATCGTCCAAAAAAGCGTGACGTCATTTATGGATGACCATTTCAGTGTTTCTTTCAGGCATTTTCGGGGGGGGGGGGGGGAATCGGGCGATTTAAATTTCCTGGGGTGGGAGTTGGGGTGGGCGGACATATATGTTCTGTATAAATTATATATTTATTTATTATTTATTTATATTATATAAGAAATGCGCACTTAAATTTCTCGGTGGGAAAAGGGGGGGGGGGGAGCACTTCTGAAATCCAGAGATGCCTGAAACAAAGATATGACTAACTAGTTACGGGCATTCGATTTACTAGTATTGACTAGTCGACTATTATTGACATGAGATCTGCTCCTTATACCAATAAAAGCAGCACTAATTTTAAAAGTTGTGTTTGCTGTACGTCTGTAAAAGCTGTTTGTATTAGAACCACAATTAGGGGTCATCCATAAATGACGTCACATTCGTGGGGGGAAGGGGGGTCCGAAATTATGTGAGGATGTGTGATGAGGTGAAGGGGGGGGGGGGTTCAGATGTTGCGACGTCACACTTTTGCATTATAAAAAAGCAATGTTAGAAAACGAATTTTAGACATTATTTCGCGTTTTAGATAACTGTTTTAATAAATTTTAATAGTTTAGACAAGATTTTGGAAAAATATCGATGTTTTAAAAAAATTCAACTGCAATTTTGAGGGGGGTGGGGTCTTCAATGAATGGCGTCATGCATAGTTCTTTGACTTTTTGATGATAAGATGATCGGGTGGGGGAAAGGGTGGTGGGAGTTGAATATTTCACCAGAATTCTGAAAATATTTTTCGTGGTTAGTCTTCATAAGAGTCGTGGTAATTTTAGGTGAGGACGATGAAATTAGAGGTTGGGGGTGGGGGACTTGGGGGAGGAGGTGGGAAGGAATTAACTTTGTAATGACTTTTTAAGGGGTGTATCTGGATTTATGTGTCGACGCGTGGAATTATGTGATGGAAGGTAACATTCGGCTGGCACAGGGTAAAAGCCATTACGCACAAGGATAATGCAATTATCCAAAAGTCTAAATTGATTATCCACTAGTCTAAATGCCATACAAAAGTTTAAAACAAGTGCCCACAATGCTAACTTCATTACCTACAAGACTAAATGCCATTATCTTAAAGGATAAAATAAACGGCATTAACCACAAGCCATTATAAGGCTAAATAACAATGTAGAGATGGACATGTGACTGTGACAATATGGTTCCTTTTAAAACCTTCGACACGGTGTCACAAAATTAATTAGAGTCGGGTTTAACCGGGGCAGGTGGTCCCATAGTTGTAAAAAGTTGACGTGACTAGCGATCGGTACAGAAAGTTAATGGGAGAGTGGCGTAGAATTCAAAGGCGTAGGCAGAGATTGGTTATGGGGTGAACGGAAAAAAAGTCACAGGAAAAAAAACACAGAAAAAAGTCAGTTTTTGCAAAGTCACAGAAAAAAAGTCATAGTGGAAAAATTTTATCGGAAAAAAAGTCACAGAAAAAAAAGTAACAAAAATCTTTTTAGAAATATTTTTATTAATTTGTTAAGAATTGTAAAATTTTGTATATTTATTGTTGTGGGTTGTATTTTTTGATAGCATAAATTATTTATAGACGTTAAAAGCATTATGATTTATAACAATTGTAAGTAAAAATACTCTAAGATAATTAACACAACAATCTCAAATTTTGTTGCGTATTTAGTTAAATACGCGGTAGAAAAGTTAATTATAAAAGAAATTTAGGCACATTTTGCCGTCGGCTATTCTCTGGTCGGCCTCTCCGCAGTAGCCATTGTCCGAACATATTTTGTGTTGTTGACGTTATGCGTCAATGACAGCCTCTGAACCTTGTCGGCTTTCTGTTTTGATCCTAAGTTTTGTTATGTAATTAGCGTGATAAATGTCGGCAGTAAAGGTGGTTGAACTAAACATAACTATTGTTGCCATGAGTTGAGGTCAGCAAGTCAGATAAACTTACCATTTCACTTTAATTTAATGTTGGTATTTTAAAAAAAAACACGATGAAAAACGTGGACTTTGGAGCATTCTATTAAATGCTACTAATCTTAAGTTTAAAATAATTACAATCTACATACTTCATAATAAATATTTTTAGATGAATTATAAAAATTCCTATGCGTATTCAGCCTACACACATTACATTACATTTAAATAAGGTGAAACGCTCAAGAGAAGAGACGATGCCAGTTAATGCTATCCATATAAGGTGAACCATCGGGTCAAGCGACTGAAGATTACGGGAGTGTCTTCAACACAAAGGATCAACACCTAATTTTTGCGAAATGCGGTCACTGCTGTTTTTATAGCTCCTTCTATGTCAACGAAGTGTGACAACCATCAAAGAACCAAGTCAAAACCCGCCAGCATCATTGCCCACATGCAACAAAGTGGAACGCCAAGAGACAGACAATGCTAGTTGCGATATTGTAAGGTGACAAAGGGGTCCATGCGACTCTGAATAACGGTAGTGTACAACGGATAAACAGATAGGCGGTGTTACCACCATATTTTGCAAAAAGGATGAAAGAAGCCATGACAATAATCTAAATGGTATTCCAAGGACCCAAAACACAGTTGAGGGGTGCCACAGGTGGTGGCAGATAATCGTCGGAAAAGATCAACTTGGAGTCTATTGTTTGCTAAAAAAAACTAAAACGCGAACAACGAAGAGTGGAAATAGAAATGGAGGCAATATTGCTTGGTGAGCCATAAATAAAACGAAAAAAAAACCACCATATTTACAGAAAGAGGACAGGGTTAAAATAATGTCATAACATAAAGGGAAAAAACAAAACTAGACTAAAATTCTACGTGGCATAGCATACAATTTATCATACTAGACACCAATCTTTTCTAGTTTGTAATATAACTTTATCATTATATTATGGTTTTCAATAAAAAAATTAAACAAGTCTGTACTTGTAGTTTATTATTTTATAAAACTTGTCGGCCTTTTGTCTTGTCGGCCTTTTGGATGTCGGCCTTTTAGCTTTCGGCCTTTTGTCTTGTAGGCCTTTTGTCCGTATCGGCCATTTGTCCCAGCAAACCGACTATCTTTTAAAACTTGCTATAATTTTGAAAATATTAACAAAACTCATTTTAAAACGCTATAGTATAGTCGGTAGAGTTTCTATGCACATATCATTAATAAACCGGTAGTGATCTCCCCTAAACTTTCTCGAATATTCTTTTTTAAAACAACAGGGGATGGTAACTGGGGATATAGTTATGATTTTTAATCCATTTTAAATACTTAAACTTTTAAAATAGAATAGAATCTCAGTAAAAAACAATTGCGCACCAAGCGAACGCCTAATAAAGGTGTGTATAATAGTGCGCAATAGTATTAGTACTTAATAAATTTACATTAGTTTTTTGAGAAATCGGAAGTAGCGTAAATTACTACTTCCTGTCAACGGAAATTACTCAAAATTTAACAGAAGGTAGAGAATTAGATCTTTTACTTACATGTGAAATTTCATTTATCTATCTGAAATAGTACTCAAGTTATAGGCTTTTGAAAAATTCAAAGTAGAAAAAGTACCACTTCCGGTTGTCGGAAATCGCTTAAAAGTTGATACGGATCTACGATTTTGATATAATACTTATATATGAAATTTCATCAACCTAGCTGTAACGGTACTCAAGTTATCGTGTTTACACACGGACACACAGACACACAGACACACACACACAGACATACGGACAAGATTGCAAAATTATGTTTTCCGTATCAGTGAGGTGTAAAACGTCGAGATTTGTAAAAATCTCGATTTTTTTTTTTGCACGATTACAAGACTTTCTCTATACTACGTATATACGAGAAAGTAAAAACAAGGTAATTAAAAAGTCTAGTGACAATTTTAGCGCAATTTCCTTATGTTATCTAAAAATAGCTCTGTCGTAGCGTAAATCAAGAGCAGGGTTAGTAAAACCATTGGTTAGTTATTAAAACGTTTTTTATTTTTAAAAAATTCAGTATTTTACATGTTTTATTTACAATAGAGTTACATGGCTAAAAATCCATTGCGCGCCATTGAACGTGATGGCGCAGCTATTGGACGTGATGACGCGTGTGGTGTGGTTGGATAAACATGCCTACTAATTCGGTCCAAATTTTAATTAATTAAAAAAAAAAATTGTGACCGAACGAAAGGATATTTTTGAAAACTTTCTTCGGCAATATTGTTCTAAATTATGGCAGGAATCGATTGGTAAATTTTTCAAGTCGCTAAGTGGTCTGGTTGCCGAGATATGGGCAAAAAACTGCATTTTTTCGAGGTTTTTTGGCTTTCCCGGGAAATCCATGAAAGAAACCCGGAATTTTTTTGGCCTATGTTCATCATCGTAACTTGTTTAACATAATTGTTTTGTAACTAGTCCTCGATATCTATTGGATACCTATACTAATATTTAGGAAGAGACACACGCTTTTCTGTATAGTAGGGACATGGATATGACGCGCGCTTTGCCGCGGGCGAGGAGAGCTGTTCGCCGATACCGTGATTTTGCGCTACGGCGTTTTTTGCGATGGGCAGTTTCGAAAAAAAAATTTTTTCCTACAACCCAAATGATTATTGTCATGATTTTAATAGATTTACAACTAGAAATGGACATCGTTTTTACTTACAAGTTGTTTTTTGTTCCAATGGATTATTATTTTATGGAGTTTTTCATTGAAAATAAGGTAAGTTTGAGCAAATTTTTCAGATATAGCATTTTATGGCACAGTAATAAGTTTAAAGGCACAAATAGAACAACCATTTTTCTATATGAATATCAAAATTTTTTAGCGACAATCGGACCCAAAAAGGTTTTATTTGGGACCAAGAAAGCATCTCTGATTTCAACAAACCGGATGCTTATAATAATAGTGATTTAAATAATGAAACTAAAACCGGAAGTTAGTAAAAATCGGAATTTCCCAAATATTGTCAATGACGCTAAAGCAAAAATATTAGAGCTGATTTTACAATCAGAGCCATCCATCATCTCCTTTTGCTTTTTATTGACTGATTTTCACTTCTATTGATAAAACATTGATTCTTTCCTGATGTTGCAGTTATATTTCGTGTTATAATTACATATTTATTTAATATGAATTATTTTACTGGAGTTAAGTTTCCCACATAAGTTTCTTTGAAGTTGCGTTGTTAATATTGGATACTATGATAATTTCTCTTTTTTTTTTTAATATCGAGCCCATTTGTAACTTTTTCATGTATAAATTGAACTATTAATATATTATGAATTACAATAAACTTAAATCTAGAATACTTTTAACAAAAATACTACATCATAATAGATTTAGAATCTAACTTTGCTTTTGATGCTGGTTTCCAAAAATGATGTCACATTTCTGCGGGGGGGGGGGGGGGGGGGGGGACGACACTTCGTCATTTTTTCACAATGTGTGATGAGTTTGTTATAGCCTCTAATTTGCGTTTTAAACTGTTTTTTTTTTTGTAAATTGCAATAGACTAATAGAAATTGATTAATATACTTTTTGACCAGAGTGACCATAGTCAATATTTGAGAAAGAAACCATGAGCTATGTTAAAAATAAAGCTGCAATTTTGAAGGGGTTTTAGGCTCAGGTCATTTTAATTAATAGGGGGAGGGGGGTCTGTGGCTTTTTGTGATAATGGGTGACAGTGGGTAGTAGGAGACATCATTTTATGGTAGCTGTAGATCATTTTTAATTAAATTCAATGAAAGAAGAAAATCGTTCTAGTTTAGGCTTTTTGGATTTGCAATACATCTAATAATTTTAAATAAGTAGATCTATTCTACACCTACTTTTAACTAGATCTATATCTGTCTGTGTTAACACAGATCTTCTGTAATAAAATAACTAAAAATAAATAGTCACAAAAAATGTAAAGATAAAAACGTAAATGTAATTGTAAATGTATTCTAAACAGGTTTTGAAGTTCAGCTGAATTGAAGTCACAGCCTTCACTGCTGGAGTAGCCACTTCCTCAGGATTGTGCATGGTTAGGCCTGATAAAATTCACAGCCAGAATAGCTATTTCCACAGGGTATCAGACTGCCTGGTTCAAGTTTGTAGAGCGTCCCTGAGTCCACCCAGCTATGATGGGTACCTGACTCACTTCAGTTAAAGTTAAGGCAGATGGGCATAGTGCTCACCACACTATCCCTTCATATGCCAAGGTCACTGATACAGCAAACTTTACTTATTTAAACGTAAAAGATGTATTTTAATTTGACATGTATTTCTAATTGCAGGCAGATGTTTATTATGTATCCTACATTAAAAATTTAATACCACATGTTTATGATGATGCATAAACACGATGGATGAAATGTATACAACGTATCAACAAAAAGGCCAATTTTCAGCTAAATATTCCAAGGTTGCCTATAGCAAAATTTTCGTTACAAAATAAGGAGGGTACCCTTGCTTCAAACCCATTTTTATGAAATGAAATATTTTTTTAATTAACTTACATCAATGAGTATTTAAAGTACATAATCACCTTCAAATATTACTGTTTTTGAATGATATAAGCAAAGAAATTAAAATCAGTTTAGCTTTGTACCTCTTTCTTGTTAGAAAGTAGCTGCGCTGGACAAAAATGACCTTTTAACTTTGACCAACAGTAACAAAACCACATAAGCTAGATGAAATATCTGAACTTTCTGTGAATGTATACAATACTGATAACATTTCAGCAGATTTTCAGCTAAATATTCCAAGTGGTTAAAAATTGGCAACAGATGTATGTTGTCTGTTGGAGAATTCTTCGTCACAAAATTAAGGGGGGTACCATAGTTTCATGCCCATTTTTATTAAATAAAATATTTCTTTTATCAACTTTGATCAGTGGGCATATTAAAGTATATAATAGCCATCATTTATACTATCTTTAAAGAATATAGGCAAAGTTATCTAAAATAAGCTAGGCATTGTAGTTCTTTTTTGCAAGAAAGTAATTGCGCAGAATAAAAAGTACTTTTTGATTTTGACCATTACTGTAACATAACTACATAAGCTAAGTAAAATATTTTTACTTTCTTTGAATGTTTACATTGTTGGCATCATTTAAGCCAATTTTTACTGAGATATTCCATATAATAAAAATTTGGCAGCAGATTTAGTGTTGTCTATATAAGACATTTTCTCAAAAATTTTAGGGGGGTGGCCCTCTTGGTTAACATTGCTTTTAACAATTTTTCACATCCACTGAAATTATTTGTATCTTATCCTTTTACTGATATGATAAGCTTGATCCTAGTCTATTTTTATTAAAAAATACCTGGTATTTAAAAAGTTACAGAGGTTTTTGTTCACATCCAAAAAATAAGGGTCACAGAAATTGGAAAAACCCCATTATAAAAAAACCCGAAAATTAAATACGTTAAAAATTCATAACTTTGAAACCGTTTGAGCTAAAATTTAAATGAAAATATCTTTATTCCTGGCTAAATGAGCTCTATAAGATGGTGCTATTACATTTTTCAATTTTTTAAAATTCAAATTTTATCCATGTCCCTACTGTATAGTAGTGTATAATTTATTTTCTACTTTTTAGTGCACTAGTACATAAAAGCTTGTTATTAAAACGTATTTTATGAAAAAAAAATTGGTGTGGATTGGAGAGAACTTTTTATAGAATACACGACACGTTACTGCATATTAAGTTAGACTTAGACCTGTCCTAATTGGCATTGTTTTGTTACAGCATGAATTGCAGTCGGCCTATTTTTGTTGGGTTTTATTTTAATTAGCTCATTTTTTTGGTTTACTTTTCTTTGAGTTATATATAGTTTTATATATATATATATATATATATATATATATATATATATATATATATATATATATATATATATATATATATATATATATATATATATATATATAAGTTATAATGCGATTTGATAAAAGGAAAAGGATCGAACATATTTTTAATTTTATTTGGAAGAAGAGTACTAAAGAGTGATTAATGATTATTTTAAAACTTTCTTCATCATCTTCTTCTAGCAACAAGACAGATATTGATCTAGATCTAGATCTAAGTGTAAGTACTAAGTAGTTCTAGATTTATCGATCTAAAGCTTCTGCCAATGACAATGTTATAGGATTGGTGTTTGTTTGTTGATGCTTTGACTTTAAACTTTAATTAGGGCCTAAGAACTTTACTTTTATTTTTCCCTCCGTGGGTGGATGTTCAGGCCCAGGCAATCAAAATTCGGTAATCTATCGTTTTAGGTACGTAAAATCGCCCGCGACTAGTAATGTGAAAAACAGGTGACTCCTTACATTTTAATAATTATTTCACATTTTGAGGAGGATTTATGTTTTGAAAAATACAAAAATGTTTCCTTGTTTCATTTATGTACCTGTTTCTAAACAATTGAATTAAAACTTTTCAGTAATAAATGAACACCAGCGATGTTTCCAACAGATGCAACCATGCTCATTTACTATAGCAGCCATCTTGTTAAAGTTTTATTTTTATAGACTTATAGCGCAAGATTCAGGCGGAAGTCACTCTATTTTACAAATGGCTGCTGTTTATATAGCAAATCTTGCTTGCAGACACTGCTGTTTAAAGTTAATTTCGGGCCTATATTGATATATTTAGCCATTGATTTAGGTTTATTATTCATTTATCTATAATATTTGACACAAACATATCACAATATACTTCTATTACAGCCTTGACAATGAGGTAACGTTTTCGTACATTAATAGCCGCGGGCGATTTTACGTACCCAAAACGATAGATTACCCAAAATTCAAATGTAGTCTAGTAGTTTTAATTATGGATTTTGAAAATTAAATATTCCGTTATTTCAAATACACTATTAAATTCCTTACCCCTTAAGAGAACATTTGGCACCACATCTAAATATCTAGCTTACTCAATTGCCGAGAAAAGAGAATTTTAAAATTATCCTAGAATGGAAAATGAAAGCCAAAACCACTTTCTTGCACCTCAGCCGGCATAACAAAATGTCGTGGACTTGTGTACACAAGTTTTTAAATGCTGCCATGGTAATTGTGTCAACTTAGGTTATTTACTCACCAGATAATAACAAAAACAACTGTTTGATAATAAAACTAGATCTAGTTATTTATTGAATTAGTAAATGAAAATATACATTACAAATTCTACTCTACATGTTATTCATACCATTTTATGAAATATTGAACACTTGCATAAATCAAATGACCATAATAAATATTTTTATTTCTAATTCTATTTTTAAATATGCTTAAAATAATATATGATAGTAATAGTTATAAATACATTTTACACTCAATTCACATTATATTGAGTCAACAGTGTGGCAGCTGAAGTTCATACATGGTATTAGTGTCTTTTTTTACATTACATTTTTTTTTCATCTTGAAAACATGACGTGTAATTTTTTTTTTAAATAAAATCTCCAAACATTGTCACTTGCGTGATTGCTTGCTTATGTTTACTATCCTGTGGGTGAAAAATCCCACCACGGTCGCGGGGTCACTGTGAGTTCAGCAGGCCTATAGTACACGTCATAGAATGAACATGCATACACGAGATTGTTGGTGTCTTCACTTCTCTCTCTTTCCCCCCCCCCCTTCTTCAAGACAATTGAAAAACAGACCTACTTTGCTTCTTCTTGTCATTTTTTTTTTAAGTTCACATATCACGCATGCTAAACAGCCAACTGTATAAATTTTTAAAAAAATTGTTTACTAAAGAGCAGTTTGATTTAGCTAGATCTATCGTCCTGATGCCTATTTTTTTTTTTAAATCGCGTGCTACCTAGGGTACAGTTTTAGCATAACGAGGAGCGAACCGCGCAAATGCGGCCTAAACTAATTAATACATTTTTTAATTATAACAGAGTAAAGCCGAAATGATACAAAGCTAAGACTAATTTTAAAACTCAGCTTAATTTTTTTTGTCTACACAAAAGGCACAGGTAAATGTAGTTTAATATAGTAAGGTAAAGTAATTTAAAAATTCAATTTCAACTTAAAGTAGATCTATCTTGATAAAATCTGTCACGAAAAAAAACGATACAAGCTCTCCATCCTGTACTTATACCAATTGTAATTTTTAACAGACAAAAACCATGCTCGCATGAAAAAGTTTTGTATCTAAATCTAGGCCTAGCTAAAAAAAATTACGCTAAAAATACCCGTAAACAGATGATAGGGCCAAAAAATAAGGCTGTTGAACGAGCATTGTTTAAAATACGCAGCAATGACAAAGACTAACGGACGATCAATTAAAAATAGCCCGTAATTAGGCCTAGCTCTGAAAAAGGCCACTCAACGAGCATCGTTAGAAATACTATACAACATTTCATACAAATCATATACATCTAGACGAATAGGCTACTCAGCGTTGACGAGGTTAACCACCAGTCACAAATTCAATTCAATGCAAATTATAGTTAAAATACTAGACTTAACAGTTCATTCTGCAAAAGACAAAAACTAGTTGTTTCTGTCAGGCAACTGGCATAACAATGATGTCATGATCCTAAAAATAGTGGAAAGAAATGTCAGCGTGGGTACCTCATTTTGGGGTAAGATTTGGAAACCAGAATCAATAATAATGTAAATATAGGCCCAGGGGCGTAGCGAGGGGGGGGGGGGGACGGGGGTGCGGACCGCACCGGGTGACACCAAGGCAAAAATAGCAAAATATATAGAGAAAAACTTGAGGGGGGTGCAGATCGAAAGTTTGAAGGGGGGGAGGGGCAAAATCGAAAACTTTAAAGTTTGTCCCAGGAAGGGTCGCAACGCCTCTGGGGGGGGGTGACACCATTAAGTTCCTCACCGGGTGACACCCGACCTCGCTACGCCACTGAATAGGCCTATGTGGTAAATATTTTAATTAATAATTATATATCAATCTAGAGCTAGACGGGCCATTTTCTGACGTTTTTGGCACCGTTTCAGTTTTTATGGAGAGTGCTCCACTATAAATCCTCTCATTATTTACAACCACAAATCTTGCGATTTTTCAATGGCATTCTAACTAAGGCATATTATTCATTTTATTAGAATCTGGCATTAAAATAATGATGAGAATTTGCGAGATAAATAGTTTTTTCATTTGTAGTGGATAGGACGGCTAAAATAAACGTGAAAACTGCAGAAAATGACGTGTGACGTTTCAGGGTCAGAGGTCATTCCAGCCATCTATCTAAGCAATGAGCAGGACTAATTTATAGTAGGCCGGCTCGTTGCTTAGATGGCTGGATTGGTGGTAGGGTGGTGGTAGGATGCGAAGCTATCTGCAAAAATTTTACAGCCACCGATTTACAGTAATATTTGATGCAGTCTTTATCAAAGATGTTTCGTTTACAACTTTACACTGTTGATAGACATTCTTATGATGTGTCAACTTCACCATCTTTTGTGTGGACTTAAAATACCACCTTGTTCGAAACCGCCCGTAATACTTCCAACGTTAGATCAACTTATTTCTTTTATGTGGAACACCATGGCCGCCTACCGTCACAAACATAATGAATATATTTTATTGTTGCAAAGTAATTTTGCTTTATTACGTAGCAGAACGAACCCCCGTGTGGCCTCAACCAACTGGTGGGTTTGTTGCTTAAGTTAAATATAAACTCAGGCCACATAGGCTACCACACACGCATAGTGTTATGTGCCATGCCTTAATAAATTTAAACTAATAAACTAAATACATAAACTATTTCCCTTTATTTTCTTTAGCGATAATTAAATTAACTAATTAATTAAGTAATGAGATTACCCATTTTCTGTATAATTTATTTTTACTATTAAAGAAATAGCTGCGTTGTTTTAATACCAACCGCTCCCTTTCCTAAATTAAATGTTACACTTTTGACCCAACAACGTTAGTGATTTTTTTTTATGCGGTGCAGAAGAGAAGGGGGGCTGTATGCTCATTGAAACCGAGCGCAAAATAATTCACCAAGATATTGACGTCATTTATGAATGATCCCTTAGTATGATATTAAGGTCGCGCAGTGTCTTATCATGTTATAGACTTAATGAATAAAAGTGGAACTTCTCGATCTATGTTAAAGTTTTTTATATGCACTGACAGTGACCCCCTCAAAAGGAGGTTTATTTTTTTCTCACACAGATTAGAAAACGTGAGCGGCGGAAAGCGGACGACAATGTTTAGAACTTTGAATAACTGAGATATAGATTTTAAAATTATAGTCTAAAATTATATTCTCTTTATGAACACACTGACCCGTATATAGAGACAGGTTTTATCTCCCGCTGACAAGAAAATGAGAGCGGGCGGCCATAGGATGTTCAGATTTTTTAATATAGTTATCTTTATAGGGCCTATATATATAAAAAAAAGATCAAAAATAGATTTAAAAAAAAACCGGGAGTGATCTGCCGTAAACTTTCTTGAATATTCATAATAATATGTAACACTACGGGGATGGCAACTAGGGATATAGACATGATTTTAATCAATTTTTAATTACTCTCCTTTTTAAAGTAGAATAGAATCTCGTAGAAAAAAGAATAGCGCACTAAGTGAGCCCCAAACAAAATATGTATAAATGTGCGGAATATTATTAGTACTTTATAAATTCATATGCTTTTTTTAGAAATCGGTAATAGCGTAAATAAATAGTTCCGGTCATCGAAAATAACTCAAAATTTGATAGAAGGTAGAGAATTAGATCTTTTACTTACATGTTAAATTTCATGTATCTATCTCAAGCATTACTCAAGTTATGGCTTTTGAAAAATTAAAAATAAGATATGCTCTACTTCCGGTTATCGGAAATTGCTGAAAAGTATTTTTTTTTTATTTTAACATCTTAAAGCTGCTGTTTGATCAACCAATCCTTTTTTTATAATTTCAAAATTGAATAACGCTAACCCAGACTTCATCTCAACTGACCTTAACATTTAAGGAATCTAACTTTGACTATCTTATCACATCCATCTTAACATTTTTTCATTGTGACCTAAAATAGATTAACAAAATGAAAATTAATAAACAATGTAGCTCTGTTGGACTTATAAATTAAAATGTAAAACCTGATTTATAATCTTGTTATAGCAGTAGTATAAATTATAAAATTTCTACTTATTTTTATTTAATTCAAAGGCAGGCTTTATTTAGTGACTGCTGCACACTTTATGGTACCTGTAAAAACTGAATGAAAATGCCAGAAAGGAGATTATTATAAGTCCTATACAAATATTTCAAAAATTTCAAAACAATTTGAATTAACATTTAAAATATTTTATCCTCAGTTCATTTATAAGAAGCAGGGCAGCATGGGAGAGCCAACAGGTGATTTAGAAATACAGTCAGATGAATTAACAGAATTTTCATATTCTGAAGATGTGAAGCCAGATCTGTCTACAGTATTTTCATCTTCTGTTGACATAAAAACAGAATTATCAACATTTTTGACTTTCCATGATATGAAACCAGACATGACATTTATAACTTCACAGGATTTTAAAACCGATGTTACACCAGAATTTTTATCTTCTAAAGATACAAAAACAGAACATACATTTTCATCTTTTGATGATGTAAAACACAATATGACATTTATAACTTCTGAAGATGTAACAACAGGATTTTTAATTAATAAAGATATGGAACCTGCTGTATCAGCAATATGTACAGGATCTGAAGATATAAAATCAGAATCAGCAACGTTATCAACTAGCGAAGATATAAAATCAAAATTAGCAATGTTATTAACTAGCGAAGATATAAAATCAGAATTAGCAACGTTATCAACTAGCGAAGATATGAAATCAGAATTAGCAACGTTATCAACTAGCGAAAATATAAAATCAGAATTAGCAACGTTATCAAGAAATGACGATATAAAACCAGATTTATGGACAAAATTTATAGATTTTGAGGACAAACAACAAAAAGGGCTAGAAGAAAAGCTAAAACTTTCTGAAGATAATACATTTGTTTCTGTTGATCATCATGAACATTTTTTTCAAAGATCTAACTTGAATAAACATAAACAAGCTCAAGTAGGGGAGAGATCTCTTGAATGTGATGATTGTCATAAAAGGTTTTCAAACATTTCTAGTTTAAGTGAACATAAGAAAGTCCATTTAGTGGTTAAGCCTTATGAATGTGATGTTTGTCATAAAAAGTTTTCACACAGTTCTAGTTTAACTAAACATAAAAAAGTCCATTTAATTGTTAAGCCTTATGAATGTGATGTTTGTCATAAAAAGTATTCATACAGTTTTAGTTTAAGTAGACATAAGAAAGTCCATTTAATGGTTAAGCCTTATGAATGTGATGTTTGTCATAAAAAGTTTTCATACAATTCTTATCTAAGCGAACACAAAAAAGTCCATTTAATGGTTAAGCCTTATGAATGTGATGTTTGTCATAAAAAGTTTTCAAACAGTTCTACTCTAAGCATACACATAAAAATTCATTTAGGGGTTAAGCCTTATGAATGTGATGTTTGTCATAAAAAGTTTTCATGCAGTTCTACTCTAAACAAACACAAAAAAATTCATTTAGTAGTTAAGCCCTATGAATGTGATGTTTGTCATAAAACGTTTTCATACAGTTGTAATTTTAATGCACACAAAAGAGTTCATTTAGGAGTTAAACCATATGAATGTGATCTTTGTCACAAAAAGTTTTCACACAGTTCTACTCTAAGCAAACACATAAAAATTCATTTAGGGGTTAAGCCTTATGAATGTGATGTTTGTCATATAAAGTTTTCATGCAGTTCTACTCTAAACAAACACAAAAAAATTCATTTAGTAGTTAAGCCCTATGAATGTGATGTTTGTCATAAAACGTTTTCATACAGTTGTTATTTTAATGCACACAAAAGAGTTCATTTAGGAGTTAAACCATATGAATGTGATCTCTGTCATAAAAAGTTTTCATTCAGTTCTAGGTTAAATAAACATAAAAAAGTCCATTCAGGAGATAAGCCACATGAATGTGATGTTTGTCATAAAAGGTTTTCAGACAGTTCTAATTTTATTGCACACAAAAAAATTCATTCAGGAGTTAAACCATATGAATGTGATCTCTGTCATAAAAAGTTTTCAGACAGTTCTACTCTAAGAAATCACAAAACAATTCATTTAGTAGTTAAGCCTTATGAATGTGATGTTTGTCATAAAAAGTTTTCAAACAGTTCTAATTTTAATGCACACAAAAAAATTCATTCAGGAGTTAAACCATATGAATGTGATCTCTGTCATAAAAAGTTTTCATTCAGTAATAGGTTAAATAAACATAAAAAAGTCCATTCAGGAGATAAGCCACATGAATGTGATGTTTGTCATAAAAGGTTTTCAGACAGTTCTACTCTAAGCAAACACAAAATAATTCATTCAGGAGTTAAACCATATGAATGTGATTTTTGTCATAAATTTTTTTCATACAGTTCTAATCTAAGCACACACAAAAAAATTCATTTAGAGGTTAAGCCTTATGAATGTGATGTTTGTCATAAAAAGTTTTCGACCACTTCTAATTTCATAAAACACAAAACAATTCATTTAGGGGTTAAGCCTTGTGAATGTGATGTTTGTCACAAAAGGTATTCAAATAGTTCTGCTCTAAGCAAACACAAAAAAATTCATTTAGTGTTTAAGCCTTATGAATGTGATCTTTGTCATATAGGATTTTCACATAGTTCTGGTTTAAGTAGGCACAAAAAAAATCATTCAGGAGATAAGTTCTATAAATCTGATGTTGGTCATGAAAACTTTATTGAGAAGAGTGTATGATAATATTTTTTAAATTGTTGAAGCACCAACAGTCCTCTACTGTCATTACAAAAAAGGGCAATAAAACTGGTTACTGGCTTGTCTAGTAGCCTGGATTCTTTTGTTACAACTAATATACTTCCATTAAATAAAAAGATAATATATACTAAAGAATTTTTTTTAATATAAAATATTCCAGGGAACAGCCCCCTCTTACTTATCAGACCTTTTTTCTTTTAACACAAAATTAAATCTTCGTCTTAGTTTACTGATACCCTATACAACTTTTTTCCAAAAACATAGCTTCGCCTACTGTTTCTAATTTGTGGAACAACCTTCCTAATAAAATAAAACTTTCTAGATATGAAAATATATTCAAAACTTAACTAAAACACAATTATTTAATGACCTCTTCATTGCAACACTTCTCATTCATCTATTAATATGTTCTTATTTTATCTCATTTTGAATTATAACTATAGTAATATTATTTCATTATTCCACATTTTTTAGTGCTTTGTTACTACCTCTTTATTACACAATTGCTTTTTTAAATGCTGTTATTACGTTGTTGTGTTGTTTGTTTATTTTAAAACGGCCAATGTGAAAAAAAGGCCTCTGTGCCTACTATTGTTACTGTTATTGAATTCATGATCTGTATATATTAATAATAGGAAGGATAGCATGTTTTAGTTCTACTTCCAAGTCACTTGTATATATTTTTGTATGTATGCAAATACAGCTAAATTGATGTTTATTGCATACATTTAAATGAAAATAAAAGGTAATAGCAGACTATTCTTAATAAATGATAATAGTAAAATTACCTAATTTAGAAATTTATGAAAACTTTACCCACAATAGTGTATGATAATATTTTTTTAATTGTTGAAGCACCCACAGAATAGACATTCTAATCTTCAATTTATTCATTATCTAGTAGAATCTATATATTAATTTTAGGATAGCATGTATTAATTCTACTTGTAGGACACTTGTATATATTTTGGTATTTTATTTGCAAATACAGCTAAATTGATGTTTATAAGTTTATTGCATACATTTAAATGAAAATAAAAGATAATAGCAGACTATTATTAATAAATTATTATAGTAAAATTTCCCAATTTAGACCATCCTTGTAGCTGAACATTTATAGTTATCTTTTCTTTGGTCTCAGTCTGAGAAGTGTAAGTGGGGTCATTTCCTAAAACAACTATCAGTTTCTAATGCTTGACACTATCCCACTTTCTTTTCTATTTGCAAACAGTAACACCACACACAAGTTACAAATTAAAAGGTAATAAAGATAAAGCTGTAATTGTTATGTTCTGACATTTTGGTATCCTATTTCTAGCATAACTTATGTTTTGTTGTGTTTACTTTTGTTTTCTTTATTTTTAAAAACACTTTAATGAAAATGTTGTTGTAGTCAAATGCTACGGGATTGTAACATAAAATAAAATTTTCTAACTAAATCACTAAATCTGTCAATTTCTATTTAGTGTTTTACTAACAATGTCTGTATTCTAATATTAAAAATTCCACTAAGACCAATATGTGTTGAATGCTGGGGTTTACTTGACCCTCATCTGATGATTTAATGCCTTAACATGACAGGTTGTTGAGGTCAGTGTCAGACAACAAAGACTTGTTTGTCATGTGATGTTAACATTTGACTTGTCTAACTGTTAATATATTTTTCAGTAAAAACTTTTTATTCAAATGCAAAAATAAATGTAGAGTGGTTTTTTTAATCAAGGATACTGTAAACCATTTGTAATAACTTACATTAATATATTCAATACCACACTTAACACCACCTTGTCAAACCCTACATTTAAAACAATTGTTGAAAATATCATTTTTCTGTTAATATATACTATGGGATGAGGAAAAGTAAAAAGATCTCTATAGGCCATAGACTATTACATTTAATAAGACCCTTACCGCATATTTTATCAATAACATGTTATTTGTTTACTTAGCATATAGGCCTATGCCATTTTCCAAGACTATTGCCACATATAAAATTATGTTTTTGTTTCCTGAGCCTATAGACACCCTCCTTGCAAAAAAATAAAAATTACATTTGGGCCCCATATATGCCTATTTAAGCAAATGTAGGCCTATATCTATTTATATACATAAAAAGCAATGTATGTTTGTATGTGTCTGTTTGTCTGTCTTTTATGCATTACTACACCTTTCATCAGACCGCCATGAAACTTTGGAAAGTTGTTAAGAATACTCCTGGGGATGTTTCTGCAAAGAAAAATAATTTCAAATTCGCGGAAGTGACGTTCCGGCCAGCGCTATTTGTTTTTTCTATATATACGGTACAAAAAAAAAATCGATTGCGGTTTGACACCGTTTATGCGAGTACCATGAAACTTTAGGGAGTAAATGAGAATACTGATAAGGTATATGGGAAACACTTGTTTTCAAATTAGCAGGGTTGGTGCCTGGGAGGGTGCGATTTTCGTCAATAAACATTTTGGCGCCCAAAGCGGCTATCTTACCACGTGGCTTCCGTTAATCGTGCGTCCTGCATAACGGGTAAAGGATACTACTATTTTCAGCATTAAAACTTCAACAGGACCCTGTAATACGTTTTATTTTAATAAAAAGAAAAATTAACCAAGGTTATGTTATTAACTGGGATGTTTCTTTTTGTCCGTAAAAAAATCCAAACAGTTTTGTCACTTTGCGAATGATGCAATTAGCATCTATTTATTGACGATGCAATCTGAAATTCAAATCGAGCATCTAATATTAGACAATTGGTAACGCTAACATATTGCATCAGTCACACTGATGTTTAAAACACGTCAGATAACTTTTTTACGTGTTAAAGAAAAAAAATCCTGTTCATTTGTGTCACTGTAGCGAATGATGGAATCTGCATCATTGTTTCAGGACGCTGTTAGGCGCTCTGCGTTATCCTTGTGAGTACTATGGCGCCTATGTTAGTTTTAAGGAGACATGGGACTACGCGGCGCCTCTGCGGTAGTGAAATCGGGGGATCCCGATAGCGCGCCCTCTATGTCCCTAAAGGCAATGATTTGGTCATTGATATTTCCCTAATAAACATGGTTTTCTATTAAATAGTTACTTAGATACGTATTCTAGGTAAAATGTAGGTAGGGCCATCTTTTAGAGAAGTTTTGCCCATAATCCAGGGGTGCCACTTCTCCGGGATTTTCCGGATTCGAGAATCATATTTTTTTCCCTTTCCGGATTTGCAAGATTTGAGTTTGAAAATTTCCGGATTTACAGTTTAAAAAAAAAAGTAAGATCGTTTTAAGCTTGAAAATTTTGGCATTGTAAAAATCATTTTAATTAATTGTCAAGACTCCCGCTAATGGCCCTTTCCGCCTTTCGCGCATGCGTCGACGGTACATATTATTATCGACTTCTGTATAAACCTAGAGTTAACATTGTTACGCCGTCACTTTCGTGGCCTTTGTCTACCCGAGATCAGCATACGTTTCGGTCACTGCGACCTTAGATGGTCTTCTATGTCTATCCTAACTTATCGTGACCTCCTCGCACTATAGTATAGTAGTGGATCTAGATCTGTAACTATTAACCAACAAGATTACTTAATGCCAGTAGACTTTTATTACGTTCGTGAAAAAAAAAAAGAAAATGACGTTATCGACAATCTAACGCGTGCGCCATGGACCAAATACAAATCGGCTGTATCAGATGGGTGAGGCTATAGGCGGAACTTTTTGTCATTCGTTGTGTGGCTGTCTGTCTGGCTATTTATGACGATATGGGCTGGGGGTAAAATTTGCATTATTTACGTGACGTCAACAATGGGCTACGGCTAGGCTGTGTATTAAAAATTACTAAATCCTACCATTTCTAGATCTAGCTAACTAGCATCGCCGATCGTCTTCTTAAAAAAAAAAAAACAACGGAAAGATTTTTCGGCCGGTCTAAAAAAATGTATTTGTTATAACCAAAAGAAAAGAAAAAACATTATTTGAAGGACAAGTTCATGTATGAAACAGAACTGTGCTGCTTTCACTCAACTTTACGGACACTTTTTACCACCTCTTACCTGCTCCTTCAAGGTCGCTCTGAACGAAAGATCTACGACACGAGACCATGCGAGCACAGTTGTGTCTCACGGTCAAGGCAGTTCTACAAGCGCTGTCTAATTTTAACGTGGTTATCTATATATATAATTCTCTTCTTCGAGCCGTTAGAAAACAAGCTGCAAACGCTCTCCCTACCTCCCCACCCCTACATGGTTTTAGTGAGCTGTGTTCACTCTAAATGTTTACAAGCAGAGCCAACGATTTTAAACGTAGGGGGGGGGGGGAGGAGGGGGGAGGGAAGGAAGGGGGGGGGGGGTTATGGTCCTTAACGAGCTACTTATAGTGTTTTAAAGAAATATTTTCAGTGTCAGCGTTGGTACTGTCGAATTCACAAATTATGAATTATTGAAAATTAGAAACAACTAAATAGCGGCGTATGTTATGCCGCGGGCCGGCTCGTTTTTAATAAGGGCCTACTTCTAGATTTAAGAGAAAAAAAAACTAGATCTGCAGCGTTTTATATCATTAAACAAAATATGTAGTCCTGCTATAATTTAGTTACACGATCTAGCAGGGTTTAGAACAGTGTTTCTTCCAGACTTTTTTCTCCGGGGGGGGGCACTTGAATTCTTCGGGGGGGGGGGGGGGGGCGGTAAACTTTCTTCGGGGGGGGGGGGGGCGGACACTGTTAAAAGTATATATTTTCTATATAAATTATATAAAGTTCATTTCGTTCGGGGGGGGGGGGGGGCTGTAAAAATTCCCCCCCCCCCCCCCCCCCCGAAGAGATGCCTGGAAGAAACTCTGGTTTAGAATAGATCTAATTGTTTTTTTTTTTTTTTTACTGTGGTAAAACGTCTTTGAAATGTTTAAAAAATTGAAGTACCGTGTTTGAGAAAATTTGCCGCTTTCACTGCCCCCACCCAGTAGCGTAGCGAGGGGGGGGGGGGTGGGGGACATATGTCCCCGGGCGCCGACCTTAGGGGGCGCCAAAATGGGTTGAAAAAAAAGTAAGGTTGTGGGGGGTGCAAATCGAAAGTTTGAGGGGGGGGAGGGGGTTGCAAGTCGAAATCTCGAGAGGGGGGTGCAAATCGAAAGTTTGAAGGGGGGGGGTGGGGTGCAAATGGAAATCTCGTGGGGGGGTGCAAATCGAATTGTCGAGGGGGGTGCAAATCGAAAAGTTTGTCCCCGGGCGCCGGGAAGGGTCGCTACGCCTCTGCCCCCTCCCACCCACTTCTAAAAAAAATCTGCTTTTCACTTAGGTGGTGGCTGCATCCCTGACTAGAGTATTACTAGCATAATTGCTTCTAAAATTATTTTTTTTAAAAATCTGTTATTCCGCGATATGAACTTAAAACTTCCACGATATTTCTTTACGTCATCATGTATATCAAATGTGGGGACATTGGGGTCGTCCTTAAATGACGTCACACTCGTAGGGGGAGGGTCCGTAATTTTGTGATGAGGGGGTTCAGATGGTGTGACATCACACTTTTGTATTATCAAAAAGCTATGTTGCGTTTTAGAAAATTATTTTAGTAAATTGTAATAGAAATTGATTAAAATACTATGTTGACAGAGTTCAGACAAAAGTTTGGAAAAAATATTGTATTTTAAGAAACATTCTACTGCAACTTTGAGGGGATGGGAGAGGGGTTTTTGGCTGAGGTGTGTCGTCATTTGAGAGGACGGGGTCTGGCTTTTTGTGACGATATGTGACCGAGGGGAAGGGGAGGTAAAAATCGTCAAAAAAAGCTAGACATCATTTATGGATGACTCCATTGGTGGTTTATAGGGAAAACAGAGTTTTAAGTTTTTCTTGTGGCTGTTAATAATCAAAGACTTAAATAGCTACAGTAAGTCAACCCTGTATTTAATACAGTGACAATCTTATAAAGTTATTAGGGATCGTGCATATAGTGGGCTTATTATTCAATAACTAACAGTTGGCTTACTTCACACTTTAAATCAAGCTAGGAAGTTCTAAGAAATTAAATACTTGGTTCTGTTACAAAAGCAGGCATACAACAGTATACATTTGTATTATTGTAGGCCTACCACTTGTTGAAATTCAGGCCTACTAAAATAGTTCTTAGATATCTCTACACATTTCTGTATTACCAACCGAAAACAAAGTGTGACTACTGTCCTAATAAACAAAGTATGTTGAAGATTAAAAGTTGTTTGTTATTGTAGCTTACATGCATATATAATATATATTTGGGTAAAAACATTTTTCAATAGAGTTATAATGCGAATTAATAAAAGGTAATACATATTTTTAGTTTTAATTGGCAGAAGAGTACCGAAGAGTATTTAAAAACTTTCTTCATCATCTAGATCTAGAATCTAGATTCTAGTTTCTAGCAACAAGACAGCAGATATAGATCTAGATCTAAGTAGTAAGTGATTAAGTTATGACTAAGTAGATCTAGATTCTAGATCTATAATATTCTAATCTATCTGTAACAGGTATAGATTTAGAATTTAGACAGTAGGCCGTTCGGTTCAACGCTTCCGGGTTTGTCATTTTCGTGGCATCTCACGGCTCATGCGCTTACTAAAAATGGCGACCAGTTTCGCTTTCACTAAACGGTAGAGGGATAAAACTAATAATCATGAGGCCATCGTTAATGGGAGAATGTTTACACCGGTGTCTGATAATGGAATCTTCTTTAAAAAAGGGGTGTTAGGTTACTGGTAGTTAACTAAATACGTACTAGTATTTCTCGCTAACCCGGAGGCGTGGCCGGTTGCTAACAACAATATGGCGCCCGGACCGGACGCTTGACTTCCGACGATTTTTCGGCCAAATTCTAGAGACCTTCTACTAATTAGTTTTTAAAATGTTTACCACGCGCAAAATGGCGGGACTTTCACGTTATAACAACAAGCTATAGGTGGCAGGGCTATATATGCCAGAAAAGCATTTTAAAATTTGCGTTGGAGAATGAAGGCTAAATTTAAAAGTTGGTTTCATCAAAAATACTAGAACTTTTTAAATATCGATTTCCATATTACAAAATTGATTTCCATAGTAAAGCATTATTAGTTTTATCAGTCTATGAAAAAATAAATCAAATATCGTCAACACTTTTTTTATAACACCAGCTCCAAAAATGACAACCAATTTTTTTTTGAAAAATTAACCACGTGACCACTATTTGGAGATCACTAGCGAGGAACTCTTGTGCATGGCCACTTAAAAAGTCTAACCTGATTTGTGGTTTTCTTTACCTTCAAGGGTTAGAAGAGTTGTCATGGAGAGATGTGTTGGACATGGCAGTGATTGACAATAAATATTAAATTAAGTAATTTAGTTTAAAAAGAACTAAAAACTCCAAAGTTAGTGCCTAATGGATTAAATATGGATGTCTATTATTCAGTGGTCATGTTTAAATTGATAATTGCGTAAATTCTAGATTTAGTGAGAAAAACTACTAAATACACACATGGCTGGCTAATGTCAATGCTAACCCTGTCCCTAACCCCAACCCTGGTCCAACCATACGCCTAACCCTAATTTCTAACCATAAAATTGGTCGAGATTACAATACTACTAACAACCCAACACCCCTATTTTAAAGATGATTCCATTATCGGACACTGGTATCTATAATCATCCTCGTTAATTTTAGACATCGGAAATTTTCCGTTTCTATTTCAGTCTGTTATTTAAGAATTCCCAGAAGTACTTTTGACCTAATTTCTTTGTTTGTCTCGCAAGTGACGCGTTAGTGAAAAATAGCTCTATGAATTCTTGTCTTTTATATCAAATAACTCTAACATATCGCTTCCCAGCGCAAACCAGCTTATGTCAGATGTAAACTCTAAAGTATTAATTTTACACACATAACAATTAACTGGTAATAATTTATTGTGTTAATGAGATGTGTGCGTGGGAAAACTATCAACCCCCAATAATGCCATTTTATAATTTATTGGTGCCCTGTGAAAACGACCTGGGACAAATCGGCCCCATTAATATGAGATGACCCCGTCAAATCGACTCCCGACAAACCGACCCCGTCAAAAGGGCCCGACTTATTGGCTCCCGTCAAATGGACTCCCGTCATATTGACTTGCGACATATAGGCTCCCGACAAATGGGCTCCCGACATATTAACCCCTGACAAATAGGCTCAGGACATATTGGCTCCCGACAAAGCAGCTCCCGACATATTGGCTCCCGACATAAGGACTCAAGACAAATGGGCTCACGACATATTGGCTACCGACAAATGGGCTCCCGACATATTGGCTCCAGGCAATTGGGCTCCCGACATATTGGCTTTTGACAAAATGACTCCCGACATATTGGCTCCAGACCAATGAATTACCATTGTTGGCATAAAAGTAACCATTTTGTCCTACCTCCAATACCACTATAAATTCTTTTGAATGCCCGAACGAAATTGTTTTTCATTGACCAACATTAATTCACAAATAAATCGAGCCCTTAACAGCTGCTAAATTCCACCAATTCTAAAGTTTTGATAATGTTTCTGTCACAGCTAAGAAATAGCTGCGTTGTTTCAATACCACCCGCTCCCTTTCTTAAATTAAATGTTAAACTTTTGACCCAACCACGTAAGTAATTTTTTTTTATGCTTTGGAGAAGAGGGGGAGGGTTGTATACTCATTGAAACCGTGTGCAAAATAATTCACCGAGATATTGACGTCATTTATGAATGACCCCGTAATATGATATTAAGGTCGCACAGTGTCTTATCATGATATAGACTAAATGAGTAAAAGTGGAACCTCTCGACCTATGTTAAAAAATTTTAAGGTTTTTTTTTTCTCACACAGATTAGAAAACGTGAGCGGGCGGAAAGCGGACGACAATGTTTAGAATTTTAAATATTGAGATATAGATTTTAAAATTATAGTCTAAAATTATATTCTCTTTATGAACACACTGACCCGTCTATAGAGACGGGTTTTTTCTCTTGCTGACAAGAAAATGAGAGCGGGCGGCCATAAGATGTTAAGATTTTTTAATATAGTTATCTTAATAGGGCCTATATATAGAAAAAAAATCAAAAATAGATTTTAAAAAATTTCGGGAATGATCGCCCGTAAACTTTCTCGAATATTCATGATAATGTATAACACTACGGGGGATGGCAACTAGGGATATAAACATGATTTTAATCCACTTTTAATTACTCTCCTTTTTAAAGTTAAATAGAATCTCGTAAAAAAAAGAATTGCGCACTAAGTGAACCCCAAACAAAATATGTATGATAGTGCGGAATATTATTAGTACTTTATAAATTCGTATGCTTTTTTTAGAAATCGGTAATAATGTAAATAAGTACTTCCGGTCATCGGAAATTACTCAAAATTTGATAGAGAAATAGATCTTTTACTTACATGTTAAATTTCAAGTATCTATCTAAAAGAGTACTCAAGTTATGGCTTTTGAAAAATTAAAAATAAGATATGTTCTACTTTCGGTTATAGGAAATTGCTGAAAAGTATTTTTTTTTTAAGTTTTAACATCTTAAAGCTGCCGTTTGATCTACCAATCCTTTTTTTTTTATAATTTCAAAATTTAATAACGCTAAAAAAGACTTCATCTCAACTGACCTTAACATTTAAGGAATCTAACTTTGACTATCTTATCAAATCCATCTGAACATTTTTTTCATTGTGACCTAAAATAGATTAACAAAATGAAAATTAATAAACAATGTAGCTCTGTTGGGCTTTTAAATTAAAACGTAAAACCTGATTTATAATCTTGTTATAGCAGTAGTATAAATTATAAAATTTCTACTTATTTTTATTTAAATCAAAGGCAAGCTTTATTTAGTGACTGCTGCACACTTTATGGTACCTGTAAAAACTGAATGAAAATGCCAGAAAGGAGATAGTTTATTACAAGGCCTATACAAATATTTAAAAGTTTGAGAATAATTTGAATTAACATTTAAAATATGTTATCCTCAGTTCATTTATAAGAAGCAGGGCAGCATGGAAGAGGCAACATGTGATTTAGATATACAGTCAGAGGAATTAACCCAATTTTCATATTCTGAAGATGTGAAGCCAGAGCTATCTACAATATTTTCATCTTCTACTGACATAAAAACAGAAGTATCAACATTTTTGACTTCTCATGATAGTAAACCAAACATGACAATTATAACTTCACAGGATTTTAAAACCCATGTTTTGCCAGACTTTTTATCTAGTAGAGAAACAAAAACAGAAAAGATATTTTCATCTTTTGATGATGTAAAACACAATATGACATTTATGACTTCTCAAGGTGAAACAACAGGATTTTTTATTGATAAAGATATGGAACCTGCCGTATCAGCAGTATGTACAGGATCTAAAGATACAAAATCAGAATCAGCAACAATATCAACTAGCGAAGATATAAAATCAGAATTAGCAATGTTACCAACTAGTGAAGATATAAAATCAGAATTAGCATTGATATCAACTAGTGAAAATATAAAATCAGAATTAGCAATGTTATCAACTAGCAAAGATATAAAATCAGAATTAGCAACATTATCAACTAGTGAAAAAATAAAACCAGATTTATGGACAAAATTTTTAGATTATGAGGACAAACAACAAAATGGACTAGAAGATAAGCTAAAACTTTCTGAAGACAAAACATTTATGTCTGTTGATCATCATGAACAGTGCTTTCAGAGATCTAACTTGAATAAACATAAACAAGCTCAAGTAGGGGAGAGACCTCTTGAATGTGATGATTGTCATAAAAAGTTTTCAAACATTTCTAGTTTAAGTAAACATAAGAAAGTCCATTTATTGGTTAAGCCTTATGAATGTGACATTTGTCATAAAATGTTTTCATACGGTTCTAGTTTAAGTAAACATAAGAAAGTCCATTTAATGGTTAAGCCTTATGAATGTGATGTTTGTCATAAAAAGTTTTCATACAATTTTTCTCTAAGCGAACACAAAAAAATTCATTTAATGGTTAAGCCTTATGAATGTGATGTTTGTCACAAAAAGTTTTTAAGCAGTTCTAGTTTAAGTAAACATAAGAAAGTCCATTTAATGGTTAAGCCTTATGAATGTGATGTTTGTCAAAAAAAGTTTTCATACAATGCTAGTTTAATTAAGCATAAGAGAGTCCATTTAATGGTTAAGCCTTATGAATGTGATGTTTGCCATAAAACGTTTTTCCACCGTTCTAGTTTAACTAAACATAAGAAAGTCCATTTAATGGTTAAGCCTTATGAATGTGATGTTTGTCATAAAAAGTTTTCATACAATTCTTCTCTAAGCGAACACAAAAAAATTCATTTAATGGTTGAGCCTTATGAATGTAATGTTTGTCACAAAAAGTTTTCATGCAGTTCTACTCTAAGCATGCACATAAAAATTCATTCAGGAGTTAAACCATATGAATGTGATGTTTGTCACAAAAAGCTTTCAAGCAGTGCTAGTTTAGGAAACCATAAAAAAATTCATTTCATGGTTAAGCCTTATGAATGTGATGTTTGTTATAAAAAGTTTTCATACAGTTCCACTCTCAGCAAACACAAAAAAATTCATTTAATGGTTAAGCCTTATGAGTGTGATGTTTGTCACAAAAAGTTTTCACGCAGTTCTAGTTTAGGAAACCATAAAAAAATTCATTTCATGGTTAAGCTTTATGAATGTGAACTATGTCATAAAAAGTTTTCATACATTTCTACTCTAAGCATGCACAAAAAAAATCATTTAGGGGTTAAGCCTTATGAGTGTGATGTTTGTCATAAAAACTTTTCATACAGTTCAACTCTAATCAATCACAAAAAAATTCATTTAGTAGTTAAGCCATATGAATGTGATTTATGTCATAAAAAGTTTTCATACAGTTGTAATTTTAATGCACACAAAAGAGTTCATTCAGGAGTTAAACCATATGAATGTGATCTTTGTCACAAAAAGTTTTCAGACAGTTCTTCTCTAAACAAACACAAACAAATTCATCTAGTGGTTAAGCCTTATGAATGTGATATTTGTCATAAAAGGTTTTCACAGAGTTCAAATTTAAGTAGGCACAAAAAAAATTATACATGCGATAAATTATATTAATCTGATGTTGGTCATGAAAACTTTACCTAGAAGAGTGTATGAATTTTTATGATATCTTTTAAATTGTTGAAGCACCAACAGATTAGCCATTTTAATCTTCAATTCATTCATAATCTGTATATATTAATATTAGGATATCATGTTTTAATTTTTCTTGTAGGTCACTAGTATTATTTTTTCATATATTCTATGCAAATACAGCTAAATTGATGTTTATTGCATATATTTAAATGAAAATAAAAGGTAATTGCAGACCATTATTAATAAGTTATAATGATTGTATAATATTAATAATAACCTAATTAGACCATCCTTGTGGCTGAACATTTATAGTTGATCTTTTCTTTGGTCTTAGTCTGAGAAGTGTAAGTGGGATCATTCCCTAAAACAACTATCAGTTTCTAATGTTGACACTATCCCACTTTCTTTTCTGTTTGCAAACAGTAACACCACACACACGTTGCAAATTAAAAGGCAATTAAGACCAAAAAAATACTAAACTGAAAATTGTTATGTTCTGACATTATGGTATCCTATGTCTAGCATAATTTATGTTTTGTTGTGTTTACTTTTTTGTATTTTTTGGTTTCTTTATTTTTAAAAACACTTTAATGAAAATGTTACTGTAGTCAACTGCTATGGAATTGTGACATGAAATAAAAATTTCTCATCAAATCTGTCAATTTCTATTTAGTGTTTTACTAACAATGTCTGTATTCTAACATTAAAAATTCCACTAAGACCAATATGTGTTGAATGCTGGGGTTTACTTGACCCTCATCTGATGATTTAATGCCTTAACATGACAGGTTGTTGAGGTCAGTGTCAGACAACAAAGACTTGTTTGTCATGTGATGTTAACATTTGACTTGTCTAACTGTTAAAATATTTTTCAGTAAAATCTTTGTATTCATATGCAAAAAGAAATGAAGTGTGTCTTTACAGTGGCGGAACTAAAAAAAATTAGGCTCCCGGCAAAAAAAAATATTAGGACCCCCTATATATTATCTATATCCTAACTGAGTAATTTAGTCTATTTTATTGCAATATATAACCATTCTGAGACAACAAACCAGACAAATTTAGTCCAAACTCATTTTGGGCTTGAAATAATCATGACCACTACAAAACATGCTGGTCAAAAATATATAAAGACGTAAGCTTGATTCGTGAATGGTTTCTAGCGTTATTTTTATTTTTTTCATTTTTTGGTTTTTATAATATCAGTTTTGAAAACATTGATTTTTTATAGCTATACCATTGTTTAGTACGTCTTATTTAAATAATAATTCAGAGAATCAATTGCTTTTTAATATACATAGTACAAAACTATTTAAATGAGCTTCATTGGCACCCCTATTTTAAATGGTAGTAAGTCATGGAAGTAGTGTGAATGTTTGCCTACCTTTCAAACTATAGCTCTTGTAGATTTTAAATATTTTTCTACGCCACAATCTCTGCTAGTTTATTTAGACCTGTGTTTTTTTTTTTTTTTTTTAATAAAACCACTTCTTGAAAATACATGAAAAACATAATTTAAAAAAAAAAATTCATTGTTTTTTGGTCGGAACTGGGCACCTAAACGTCCTGCCCCCCCCCCCCCCCCCCCATCCCGCATTGCGGGGTCTGGCGGCATGCTACTTCCGCCCCTGTATCTTTATAATCACGGGTACTGTTAACCATTTGTAATAACTTATATGATTATATTCAATAGCACACTTAACACCACCTTGTCGCACCCTACATTTAAAGCAATAGTTGAAAATAGGCACATGTAGTAACAGAAAAATATCTTTTTACTTTTGGGGTCGTCCATAAATGATGTCACAATCGTAAGGGGGAGGGGGGTCCGTAATTTTGTGACGGTGTGTGATGAGGGGCGGTTCATATGGTGTGACGTCACTCTTTTGCATTATAAAAAAAAACCAATGTTAGAAAACGAATTTTAGCCGTTATTACGCGTTTTAGAAAACCGTTTTAAATTGTAACAGGAATTGATTAAAATACTCAATGCAGACAAGATTTTGGAAAAATATCCTATTTTAAGAAAAATTAAACTGCAATTTTGAGTGGGGTTGTAGCTGAGGTGTGACGTCATTTTAAGGGGGGGGGGGGTTCTGGCTTTTTGCGATGAAGGGGCGAGGTAAAAATCGTCCAAAAAAGCGTGATGTCATTTATGATGACCACTTTCCTCATCCTATAGGCTATTACATTTTCTAAGACCACTACCGCAAATTGTATAATTTATTGTTTCCTGAGCTTGTAGTTATAAGCACCCTCATTGCAAAAAAAAAAAAAAAAAAAAAAAACATTTGTGTCCCATATAGGATTATTTGTGTAAATTTATAGGCCTATGCATAATAAAATACATAGCCTATATATTCTAACCAGTTGGGAAACAAAGACGGATGGGCATAGTGCTGACCACGCTATCACTTTTTATCCATAGGTGGCTGAAGCAGTTGAGATCTACTACATCTGCCCCATGTGCAGATTTTCTTCCAGGCATCTCTTCGGGTTGCTCCGAAAAACAATTGTCTACCGAACGAAATAGAATTTATATACTAGAGGGTTTCATCATTGCGTTACTAATATTATATTCTTAGTTGTGTGACCTTGTTTTCTAAAACTGAATTATTTAAATGCAAACAATTACAATGCCTGATCAAGAAAGTATGACGTAATATTTTAAGAGGGTTTCATCATATCGTTACTAATATTATATTCTTAGACGTGTGATCTTGTTTCTACAACTGAATTATTTGAACATAAACAATGCCTACGTTTGGATCATATTTTTCGGGGCATGGGTTTTCCTACACTACCGCATTACAACCTTGAGTGTACGTTATGCAGTAATACTGATTTAGAACACGCTTGGTGATCGTCCAGGTGTCATGGACTTAGAGAGGTGCTCTTGAGAGCCCCCCATCAGAGACGTTGACAGGCGGGAACGGGGGGGGGGGGGGGGGAATGCGGACCGCAGCGGGTGATACCATTTAATGGGGTGACAAAAAGACGAAAATTTACAATATATATATATATATATATATATATATATATATATATATATATATATATATATATATATATATATATGTATGTATATATATATATATATATATATATATATATATATATATATATATATATATATATATATATATATATATATATATATATATATAAATGCTTTTTGCCTGTTCAGTTAATAAATAATTAAAAGTTTAAAAGTCTTATAAGTAAATATTGACAATCTCGACAATACATACTCACTCTCTCACACACACCCACACATATATATATATATATATATATATATATATATATATATATATATATATATATATATATATATATATATATATATGTATATATATATATATGCATATATATATATATATATATATATATATATATATATATATATATATATATATATATATATATATATATATGTATATATACTCTTTTTTTCCTTCCCGTGTTTTAGGGCGGAGTAGACACCATAAAGTGCTGCAACGGATGACACCCGACCAAGCGACGCCACTGACAAGGCTTTTTATATTTATATAAATGTTGTTACTAGGTTTAGGATAATTTGTAACGAATTCGCATGAATAATAATTTAGAATACGTTTCTTTAAAAAAATCACAATTTAACGGAGGCTTTATTTTTCTTTAAGCTAGCCTTCATCTAGTTGTCTATCATTATAATAGTTTACGATTATAAATAACCTACCAATATCGGAAGTATCTTATATATATATATATATATATATATATATATATATATATATATATATATATATATATATATATATATACTAAAACTCAAGTTTGATTATGTGTTGGAATATTTATTTATTTATTTTGTTGTTTTTTTTTTGTCCGTTTGGTTACAGGAGAGAATCTGCACTATGTGTAGAGCTGTAAAATAGTATTTAGGTTTTTCTTATTTAAACAGACTGTTAATCACAAATTTATTTAAAGACGTTAAATAATTTATTGATTTATTCATTGGTAGATTAACCACATTAACTATAAAAGTTCAAAACAATGACTTTACTTATAGCGAATAACGACGTCACATGATTTATTTACTTTTTACAACAATAATGGCGGCTTCCATAGAAGATTTTGTTGCCCATTCAAAAGTATAACGCATTATATAGCATATGAAGGGATAGTGTGGTAAGAGCCATGCTCGGCCGGAATATTTTTTTAAACGATAAAAATATGTTGTCTGAGACTTGGTGGGAAACTGGACAGGTGAAGTAGAGTTTGGTAGGTGTATAGTTCACTTGTGACGTCAGCATATGAAGAGATAGTGTGGTCAGACCAATGCTCAGACAAAATTACGTCTGAGTTAGGGGGACACTGGGCAGGTGAAGGAGACCGCGAGTGAAATTCTCCTTATATGAGAAATAAATTGACGAACGATCTCTCTAATATTTTGTGAGGTCGTAGACCGACCCCGGATAACGAAAAACATTATTCCCGTCGAAAAAAAAGGGTCGTTCAATTTCAAGGGAGGTAACTTTAAAAAAATAATTATTTAAAATAATTATTTTTCAGACAATTGTATACTATTTTAAACATAAACAGAAAATGACGAAGTATAGCATTTGCTTCAGTAAAAAAATTAAGTTGTTAATTAAGGTACGTATCCTAATTATATAAATAAATAATATAATAGATTGACGACAGAAGCCTGTGGTTGTATATAACACGTTTATTGGGTCTAACTTCATCATGATGGTAACACACAGAGAGGACGGAAGGAAGTACACAAGGGACATCACTCAAGATAACAATATTATAAATATAACTAATACAGAAGAGTGAGTTCCCTTGACCTCACAATTATTTCAATCTATTACAAATAAATTTTAAAAGTCAATGTAATATAAATTATACTGTTCATGGAAGCTCTGTAGATAATTCCATTTTAGTCATACATTGCGAACTTTCCAATATTTTCTCTGAAAACGGACTTTAAACAACAAACAACAACATCATTTTCTCTAAAATTAGCATTACTGTTTAAATTTAAGCACTCCACACCTCAGCCATCACTAAATAATTAAGTATTCATATTCTCAAATGTTTTTGAAAACCCAAGCGAAGCTAGGAAGTATGTCTAGTATATCTATATATTGGAAAGAGCTTTCTGTCGGGGCCCCATGTTTGGACCTTGAAGGAGAAAAAACAAGTTGATGTTTTCAATTTATTATATGATTGTTAAACTCATGTTTTTACTTTTCTCGTATATGAGATAAAGAGGAAGTATTGTAATATATATACATATATATTTGAGACTATAGTACAATAAAAATTTTGAATGTTTCTGTCATTTGCTTTAATTAATAATCAATAAAAACTTAATTTCATGATCCTTACGGCATAAAAAAAAACACCAAAATCTGCTCATGATCTTCTAATAAAGACTTTGGCCGGTCCACCATGGCCTGTCCGCGAATAGGCCGGCCAAAGGCCGAAATCAAGCAAAGTTTCTGACTTTGACCGGTCAATGGGAGGCGATATTGGCCAATGCGCGCAATCGCCGGCCAATCCGCGCAATTTCCGACTTCGGGCTTTGACCGTAACATATTTATATATATATATATATATATATATATATATATATATATATATATATATATATATATATATATATATATATATATATATATATATATATATATATATATATATATATATATATATATATATATATATATATATATAATATATATATATAATATATATATATAATATATATATATATATATATATATATATATATATATATATATAAT